GTATTTGTCTTATACCTGTAATTAATGATGTATCAATACCTTTGTGGTACATGTAGTATTTGTCTTATACCTGTAATTAATGATGTATCAATACCTTTGTGGTACATGCAGTATGTGTCTTATACCTGTAATTAATGATGTATCAATATCTTTGTGGTACATGTAGTATTTGTCTTATACCTGTAATTAGTGATGTATAAGACAAATACTACATGTAACACAAAGGTATTGATACATCATTAATTAAAGGTATAAGACAAATACTACATGTACCACAAAGGCATTGATACATCATTAATTACAGGTATATGACAAATACTACATGTACCACAAAGGCATTGATACATCATTAATTACAGGTATATGACAAATACTACATGTACCACAAAGGCATTGATACATCACTAATTACAGGTATAGACAAATACTACATGTACCACAAAGGGATTGATACATCATTAATTACATGTAGTATTTGTCTTATACCTGGAATTAATGATGTATCAATACCTTTGTGGAACATGCAGTATGTGTCTTATACCTGTTATTAATGATGTATCAATATCTTTGTGGTACGTGTAGTATTTGTCTTATACCTGTAATCAATGATGTATCAATACCTTTGTGGTACATGTAAAATTTGTCTTATACCTGGAATTAATTATTTATCAATACCTTTGTGGTACATGTAAAATTTGTCTTATACCTGGAATTAATTATTTATCAATACCTTTGTGGTACATGTAGAATTTGTCTTATACCTGTAATTAGGGATGTATCAATACCTTTGTGGTACATGGAGTATTTGTATTATACCTGTAATTAGTGATGTATCAATACCTTTGTGGTACATGTAAAATTTGTCTTATACCTGGAATTAATTATTTATCAATACCTTTGTGGTACATGCAGTATGCGTCTTATACCTGTAATTAATGATGTGTCAATACCTTTGTGGTACATGTAAAATTTGTCTTATACCTGGAATTAATGATGTTTCAATACCTTTGTGGTACATGTAGTGTTTGTCTTATACCTGTAATTAATGATGTGTCAATACCTTTGTGGTACATGTAAAATTTGTCTTATACCTGGAATTAATTATTTATCAATACCTTTGTGGTACATGCAGCATGTGTCTTATACCTGTAATTAATTATGTATCAATACCTTTGTGGTACATGCAGCATGTGTCTTATACCTGTAATTAATGATGTTTCAATACCTTTGTGGTACATGTAGTATTGGTCTTATACCTGTAATTAATGATGTATCAATACCTTTGTGGTACATGAGGTATTTGAACAGCCAAAGTTTACTTTTGGTCTAAAGTGTTTTTTAGGCTTTGGTAAAGCTCTTAAAAAACACACACAGAAAGGTAGCCGGTGGAATTATGTGTTTTGTCAAAAAAACTGTTCAAATGAAAGGTATAGGTTTATATAACTTTTTAAAAAAATGTTTCAATCTCCCTGATTTAGAACAAAGAAAATTTCATAGACAGAAAACAGAAAAAAAATAAGACAGACTCTGATATAGTTCTTTAGATTGTTTTAAAATCAATGATAACAAAGAATTCATGATATTGCTGTTTAAACTTGACTTGACTGTTGTACTCTATATTTTGAACTCTAGAATAAGCCAGGGAGGAAGAAGAGTGAGTCGGGATCACCACGAAAGAAAAAGTTAAAAGAAAGCAGCAAACATTCACCCTCCAAGAAAAAACAGGTACAGTTAAAAAAAAAAGGTCAATTCTTTTAAAGTTACCTCCATTTATTTCTATAATGTAAAATATAATATGAATGACATCACATATTTTGACTGATCAGTTGTAAAGCATCCTTTTCCAAAATGATTCCATATTCAACAAAAGGAAAGGTTCAAGAATGTGCCCTATGGTTGCTGAGAGAAAAAATAAGCGAAAAATCTATAAAATTGATGAGTTTTCAAATTTTACCAGTCTACACAATTTTCAACTAGATACCATGGCACTGAAATAAAGATTTTCATATCATCATCCAAAAAATATTCAAATTAAAAAAGGACACACACACAAAATCAGTACTGCAAAAACTGAATTAGATATTTTGAATTTTGATAGAATTGCAGGCCAAAGAAGGACCAAATTATTCATTGTTCTTTCCAAGGACAAAAACTCTAAACAATTTTAAAGAAAAATATATACCAAACATATTGATATGATAATATATGCTTGATTTGTAGAAATTGAAAGACAAGACAGGTTCAGAGAGGAAAAAGAAGCGTGGAGGAGAGGTAGATGATGTACGGGAAGTGGAGGATGAGGAGCCACGCCAGTGTTTCGGGCCAGGATGTATAGAGCCTGCCCGGCCCAACTCCAAGTACTGCTCCGAGGAGTGTGGCATGAAACTGGCCAAAAAGTATGTGTATTGTAGCACTAGTCCAATCTCCAATATACAAGATCATCTGAATTTGTGAACTACATTGTACTTCCCACAGAATTAATGTATTTGTCTCTTTTCAAGCTACTGTATACCGGGATTTTTTGCCGAAGTTTAACTGAAGCCTTTTTCCCCCCTCTCAAATGAGGGCAAATTTATCATGACAGCATATTTTAGTACACAACATGAAATATATGAAAAAATATGTGAAAGGCGAAATTAACACGGGGCAAACATAGATTTTATAGGAAAAGGATTACAGTATATATTGTTGAGCACCTGCCCTCAACGATGAATTTTCTTGTGGTCTATTCCAGTCGTATCTATGAACTCCTGCCCCCTAAGATCCAGCAATGGCAGAGCACACCTTGTGTGACAGAGGAAAACAACAAGAAAGCACTGGAAAAAATTCGCAGACAGCAACTAGAGGCACGGCATAAACTAGGGGAGCTTGATTTCCGACATCAGGAGCTGGACGCACTTTTAGAGCGAGTCAAACATTCTATCATAGTTCCGGACCAGGAGGTATGTTCTGACAGCCAAAACCTCATATACTACAACGTTAAGTACTTCAATTAATGAGCTGGCAACAACATGTGCCAATTTGGAAGAATTACTTCTATTTGCCAGTAGATATGTAATTTCAGTATAATATTTGATCCTTCATCTTTTAAAGAAGACTTTAGAGGTTATTCGAAATAAATATTGCAAGTTTAATTTCAGTAAGCAGATGTTTTCCAACACAATAATTGAATATATAGCTGACAAAGTTGAGAGTGTAACTGATATGTACTTCAGTTATAATCTGAGATTGAAATGATAATGAGGTTACAGAAAATTGACCAATTTTAATTGACACTGTTGTCCATCAAACAATGATTGCTATCTGAATTATCTAATGTTTTCTGCATCTACCCAGTATCAGAAAGCTGGTGGTAAAAATTTTGATGAGGTGAGCTTGACCTTTGACATTGCAGGAGAAGGAAGCAGAAGATGATATGGAATACAGCATGTACTGTGTCACTTGTGGAGCCGAACTCAACCAGAAAGGGGCACTCCGACACATGGAAAAGTGCTTTGCAAAGGTAAGTATACTTATCTTATTCACACCTGATACCTGTCTGTTCATTGTTCATCCATTATACCATTCAGAAGAATAGGATACATATTGACCTCTTGTTACATACTTTGTATGTCCGAGAGAAATACAAATCTGAAATCTAAAAAGATCTTTTACAAATCTAAAATTACCTTTGACCACATTTATGATTTACTGAAATTAAATTTGTGCCAAGATCAAGACCTGCACACAATTATTTCTGCTTAACTGGTATACATTATTCTGCTTTTTTTATTATTTAAATGCAGTTCAATAAAATTTGTTGTCTAAAGGTTGTTGGAACCATGAACAAATTTATTATGAATTAAATCAGAGCAACATTTTTTCCTAGATAAACAGGGCATTCCAAAATGAATTTCAGGTAAACAGTGGAATTACAGATAAACAGGGTATTTCAGGTAAACAGTGGAATTACAGATAAACAGGGTATTCCAGGTAAACAGGGTATTTCAGGTAGATAGAACTATTCCAGGTAAACTGGGTATTCCAGGTAAACAGGGTATTTCAGGTGGATAGGGATATTCCAGGTAAACAGGGTATTCCAGATAAACAGGGTATTTCAGGTAGATAGGGATATTCCAGGTAAACAGGGTATTCCACATAAACAGGGTATTTCAGGTAGATAGGGATATTCCAGGTAAACAGATATTCCAGGTAAACAGGGCATTTCAGGTGGATAGGGTTATTCCAGGTAAACAGGACATTTCAGGTAGATAGGAATATTCCAGGTAAACAGGTATTCCAGATTAACAGGGTATTTCAGGTGGATAGGGATTTTCCAGGTAAACAGGGTATTCCAGATAAACAGAGTATTTCAGGATAGGGTTATTCCAGGTAAACAGGGCATTTCAGGTAGATAGGGATATTCCAGGTAAACAGGGCATTTCAGGTGGATAGGGATTTTCCAGGTAAACAGGGCATTTCAGGTGGATAGGGATATTCCAGGTTAACAGGTATTCCAGGTAAACAGGGTATTTCAGGTGGATAGGGATACTCCATGTAAACAGGGCATTTCAGGTGGATAGGGATATTCCAGGTAAACAGGGCATTTCAGGTGGATAGGGATATTTCAGATAAACAGGTATTCCAGGGTATTCCAGGTAAACAGGGTATTTCAGGTGGATAGGGATATTCCAGGTAAACAGGGTATTTCAGGTGGATAGGGATATTCCAGATATCAGAGAGATAGGTTCCACTCTATGCATCATAGATTAGATCATTTCACATGAAATCTGGTGTAGAATTTATAGGAATAATTACCTAACCATCAGCTGGTACATTTCAACATGTTGGTATTACACTGTTGACATTTTTGTTCAGCTCTCACCTTTACAATGTCTTACCTTTGTCATGGTATAAATACTATAAATGCTAATTATAAATGTCTCTTTATTTTCAGTATGAGGCACAGACATCATTTGGGTCCATTTATAAAACCCGGATAGAGGGCAACTCCATGTTTTGTGACTACTACAACGCCCAACAGAAAGTTTACTGTAAACGGTTAAAAGTCCTCTGTCCAGAACACACTAAGGAACCAAAGGTAAAGGTTGTATGTTGACAACCAGCTGGGTTAGAGAATTGTACAAGTAATTTAAATGGCTAAAAGTTCAGAATGTAGATCAGTGCAGTATTAACAGTATACAAAGCATCTGTCGTATAAGAGGTATATATACAGTTATTTTATATCTAAGTTTCTATCTTTACATTTTTGTGCCTAATGATATTTTGGTATGAGAGGAAGGGGGATGGACAGTGATTTCTTTTGCCTCGTTTTACTGCCAATAACAGGCTGCTTTTCATAGCAAGAAATAAGAGTTTGGATTTCCCAATTTAAAATAATGCTATAATTTTCCAAATTCATTTAGGAACAGGCTATCGTAAAAATTAGGTAAAAAAACACCTGATAACTGTATGTCTGTTATTTGACAACACAGCATAATTCTTTATACGTTTTGTATTTTTGTTGTTGAGTATGATAGCAAATTTTGATAGCAAAGATGGGTTATCATAAACATGTTTAGTTATCTGATGGAAGTGGTATGTTGATTTTGTAGGTGGGACCAGATGAGGTGTGTGGCTGCCCGTTAGTCACTAACGTGTTTGAGGAGACCGGTGAATACTGCAGAGCAGCCAAACGTAAATGTAACAAACACTTTGTGTGGGAGAAACTACGGCGGGCAGAGATAGACATGGAGAGGGTTAGGCAGGTGTGTAAGCTTTTCTTTCTGAAATAAGATGCTTTGTTATATGGCACCAGGTATGCAAAACATCTTGTGGTGATCATTTGTTAATTGTTTTCAAAGACCTTCATTTGGTGAAGCAAATACTGTGTTGTTCGCCCGGTCAAAATTACCCCCTTAGCCAGAATTAACCATATTCATGGAGTGTTAGTTTGGCCCTTCACATTTAAATACTTTTGCATAATATTTAGTTTTCTAAAGTTTGCTGTTATGATAAATTTTCTCTTCATTAAGGCAGGCAAAAAGGGCGAGAAATAAACTGCAGCGAAAATTTCGCAGTACACTGTATACAGTACTGGCATCATCATGCCCCTATCCGCCCATCAGTACATGTTCCAGACTGAATTTTCCAACCTATTTATGTGAAACTTTACACATGTATTTCTCACATCAATATCATGATACTGATAGATAAGGTCATATGTGCAAGGTGAAAGTTATAGCAGCTATAGAATCTGTACATAATAATGGGGAAACTGACTTGTCCATGCATTCCTGTCATAATGTTTTCAATCCAACAAACTCACCACATCTTGATTCTATAACTTACACTGCTTGTGTTTACATTACACATCTTAATACAATGACATCAGCAGGCATAGTATGTTCCATTTGTGGTACTCTTGTTACCAGTTTGGTAAGGATCAAATTTATAAGGTACATAATTTACATTAACAGGCTAGGATTGGAAATATTTGTTTATTGAAATGCAGAAATTAACATTAGGATATACTGTATATTTGGAAGTTTTGGCCTTTTTCGCCCTTCGTAATGAGGCCAAATTGTCCATGACATTGGAAAGGTCCACATTATTCTATGCATAGGAATAGCAAGAATGGATTTTACCAGTGGCGGGCAAACATTGGACTGGGCGAACATTGGACTAAAACATTGGACTGGGCGAAAGGTTCCTGTTATACAGTATTCCGTCTTTGCGTATTGCAGAGTTATCTTCTCTTGTGAGCAGGTATTGATCGTTACGTCATTGGTTTGTGTGAGAAAATTACGTCGTTTTGTCAAATAATCAATACCTACTCACAAGAGAAGATAACTCTGCAATACGCAAAAACTTATAAACCTTTATTGCTTATCCTATCTTTGTCTTGTTTCTGCAGTGGATGGAGTTGGACGACTTATTTGAACAAGAGCGCAACATCCGAGTGTCAATGGCCAACCGTGTTGGTGTGCTGGGCCTGATGTTACACCAGACAATGGACCACGACCCACTGAACCCAATCAAGGCCCCTGAAATTAACTGATTCCACTCCAATACAGCTTACCATCTTGAAGAAAATGTTAAGAAAAGTTTACTTTTGTTTGTTTAGACTTTTGTGTTTAGCTCAGTATTCATCAAAGTGAGAGCAGAGGCATTTGTATGTTTAATAAACAATTTCTGATGTATGTGTATTGGGCTGCATGGGGAGGTTTTGCCATGTCACTAGTACGAGTGTGTAGTATGTAAACTTTTAAATAAGATTTATTACTATAAATCATATGGGTTTGTGGAAATTATGCTCTCTATTTTTCATACAACAGATATTTGAATTTGTAACTGACTTACAAATTCATTCAAATTACATATCTCGTGAAAAATAACAAAATGTTGCACATTGTAAAACTTCTCAGGGTTAGAGAGTTAACATTCTTTTTATGCTGGTTTATTTGTGTCGGTTCATTAGCAATAATCCTGTGAAAATCGTCCTATCGTAATTCACCAACAAGTATTAAATTTCTATCATGACTCGCACCAAGAAACACCTTTGCTCAGATCAGGTGACCAAAGCATTGTAAAATTAATGAGCTGTTGACTCAAATTTTCTAACCATGTTTTTTGTTCCAACAACTTTGCAGAGATATAGATCTTACTGGAATGTCAGATTCGTGTGACAAGCACAAAGATTGTGTACATTTCACAAATCTCACTTTGTCTTCACTATCATTACTATAGTGCTATTGAACTTTCACTCTGTGCAATTGCATTCCCTGTTAAGATACTGCTTTATCCTGTACTTAGATACAGTAAACTCTCATTATACTGCCAACATTTGGCGATAAACTGAAGAAACTGTATGAAGTATTCTTGAGAAAATAAGAAAAAAAACATAATTGAAAAGTAAAGTGTTGGCCGTAAATGTAATGAGGGGCATTATATGGAGGTTTTACTGTAGTTTCACCTTGTAATCGGCAGTATCTGTTGATGGTTGTTACCACTTTCCTTCCTTCGTTTGACTGTAGACTTAATAAACTGTGATGCAAGTCGGTATTCACCATCATGTGTATTTACCAGGTACATTATGTAAGTTTGTAAAGCTTTTCTATTTATTTTTTATTAATGTGAAATGTTACATAAAAAATTATAACTGTGTTTTATTAAAATGTTGAATTCACAATTTACAAGTTAATGTACATGTAAATTAATGTTCATAATTTTACGTCCAGATCCTGATTTTTTTGTGATCATTTTGAAGAAGCATCTTGATGTAATATTAGCGTTAGTTCTGTAAGATAATACAAAAGTTAAGAGAATTTTAATGAGCTCATACATAGTGCTTACAAGTCTTAAGCTTGTATTTCTACCAAGAGTCAGTATCGATGTTTGTACAGGCACAGGACAGTGTTCAGATTATTATATTGAACGTTTCAATTATTTTTCAAGTCTAAAGAGAAAGGTTCTTGCACATATTCAACACTTGCGAGTTGTTCTGATGCACTTGTGTCAATTGAGAAGTGTAACTCTTGAATTAGGATATGGACGTTTCTGTCAAAAGGTAGCTAATAGTGTCAGATACAGTTAAATCTCATTACTTGTTTTTGAAATTTCTATTAAAGATTTTGTATGACTTTGGTCATGTATAACTTTGTACAGGATTAAAAATTGTAATGATGATTAATCCTTCAAATAAACATGATTTAAAACATAAAATGTGTCAAGAGTTTTTAATCTGTGACGTTTTAAGTTTGTTGAATGCATTATTTTGGCCTTCATTCAAGGTCACAAAGTACAATTTAATTGAAGATTTATAAAACTTCTATAAATTAATGGTGAGGTGTAAAAAGATTTGTTTCATTTATTTTGAAACAAATGGCCTAAATATTACCAGAAGACACAACATAATATTTCACCTTAAAGACACAAAGTTATTAAATTTAACATGACCATTTTGTCATGCTTTATCACCCCATAAGTTTCAGTGTTTGATAATGTTCTATAAATAGCTACAACTTTGATCTCGACACCCTGAAATATGCACACACTCAAGGTACCAGTATTATCATACTTCAAGATGATAAATGGAGAAATATAGAGAACAGTTTTCTATGTATAGCAACATGCAATGACCTTTGAGCAAAATGCGTCACTTGAGTTGCGACAGACATGGGCCACACTATATGGCATATATATGCCCCCTCCCTTATTTCATGGCTGGGGCAGAAAAACTGCTGATTTTAACTAGTGCGGTGCTATCTTTTTCGATAACTGACCTTAGTCATGGGATTGTGAACTTTTTATATTAGCCAAGGATGAAAACATAACAGATATTACTGCATGATTCCATGGTTTTTACTCGAGCCTCTTAGAGTGTATACACCAAAATATACATGTACAACTAATATCTAAAAGAAATCTCAGGATAATTATGGACTTGAAATCATTTTATTACACATTATAATATGATGTTTGACACATGTTCATACACAAATTAACACTACGGTATGTACACTAAATGTTTACACATTCTCAACCGTTGAAAACTACATCTTAGAGAGTACTTCATTGAATGTCAAAAGCACTCCATACTTACTGATCTAATATCTGGAAAATGAACAAATATACACATCAGAGAAATCATTTGAAATCCCTGATCGCATACAATTACTTTATGCATTGTCCACTTAGATGATCAGGGTGCTGTATCCTATTATCAAATTGTTGCACTTTATCACATGACTATGACAGTGTATCACATGACCAAGGTGCATGACCATATACAGTATCATTCAGTTTTGTTGTTTCAGTTTAAACTGATCACACAGAAAGAGGGTTATTGGTGTCAATAATGGCCAGCGTTACAGCTTCATAACATTACAGGAAATTAAAACCGTTTCTACACACTGAATTACACAAAAACGGCATCGATGGTCTTGTCTGAATACCAAGGTGTAAAATGCTGGTTTGAATTTTTGCACAAATATATTGTCCTAGTCCTTTGAATGTAGACATCTTTTTTAACACATACCTTGGTTCATTTCAGTTCATCAATCTTAAGATGTTTTGATGATAACTCAAGTTTCTATTACTTCCTCACCACAAATCTGATACAAACATCTTACACTTTTTATAATAGTCTGGTTCCAAGTAGTCTGCCATTTCCTCAACTGTTAACCACTTATAATCAGTAATACGGTCACTAACAATTACGCTCCCTTGATTGAATTCAGCCCTAAAGAAAAATACCTGAAACACAACAAATTGAGATTATCACTTTCAAGGAGTATAAGTAGATAATTTCAAATAAAGTATACTCATTTATTACATTTTTGCCAGTGAAATATCAGATTCTATCAACTTGATAGAACTGATATCTTTCACACTGTGACAAATATCACTTCTTGATACTGACCAATCATAACAGTATCTTCTATTCGCTGCATTCAAAGGTAACAAATTTTTGTTCAGATTCAAATGAAGCGTCGGCAGAATAAGTGGTTGTTATGGTAAATATTTGGTACACACACTTAAGTATTTACATAAATATACAATTAATAACATTTTTATAAGCAATAATACCAGAAAAAAAGCAGAAAACGTGAGTATCCCTTTCAAAATTGTGCGCAGCTTTGTTGTCAAGTGTGACGTCATTAGGATAAGGTGCTAATTATTATGCTCCCGATTCCCATCCTTTTTTAATGCGTTAATTTTTAATGTTTTATGCTTTAAAAATGTAATAAATAGAAAATTTAATGGTGTCTTCAGTAATAACAAATATATTTCACTCGTGTGGCTAAAATATAAAATTATTAGCCACACTCGTGAAATATATTTGTTATAACTGGCGACACCATTAAATATCCTCTATTTATTTCTGAGCATGAACGTTTTTTATTATTGAGGACAATAGACTTATTAAAAAACACCCAAAACAATCAGACATACAACTACTGTCTGTCCAACTTAGAACCTTGTAGGGTGTGAATTGTACGCCCTACTTCCTGTCCTGTAGGTCTACTTTAGGGTGTTTATTGTACTCCTATATCCTGTCCTGTAGGTCTAGTTTAGGGTGTGTATTGTACTCCTATATCCTGTCCTGTAGGTCTAGTTTAGGGTGTGTATTGTACTCCTATATCCTGTCCTGTAGGTCTAGTTTAGGGTGTGTATTGTACTCCTATATCCTGTCCTGTAGGTCTAGTTTAGGGTGTTTATTGTACTCCTATATCCTGTCCTGTAGGTCTAGTTTAGGGTGTTTATTGTACTCCTATATCCTGTCCTGTAGGTCTAGTTTAGGGTGTTTATTGTACTCCTATATCCTGTCCTGTAGGTCTAGTTTAGGGTGTTTATTGTACTCCTATATCCTGTCCTGTAGGTCTAGTTTAGGGTGTTTATTGTACTCCTATATCCTGTCCTGTAGGTCTAGTTTAGGGTGTTTATTGTACTCCTATATCCTGTCCTGTAGGTCTAGTTTAGGGTGTTTATTGTACTCCTATATCCTGTCCTGTAGGTCTAGTTTAGGGTGTTTATTGTACTCCTATATCCTGTCCTGTAGGTCTAGTTTAGGGTGTTTATTGTACTCCTATATCCTGTCCTGTAGGTCTAGTTTAGGGTGTTTATTGTACTCCTATATCCTGTCCTGTAGGTCTAGTTTAGGGTGTTTATTGTACTCCTATATCCTGTCCTGTAGGTCTAGTTTAGGGTGTTTATTGTACTCCTATATCCTGTCCTGTAGGTCTAGTTTAGGGTGTTTATTGTACTCCTATATCCTGTCCTGTAGGTCTAGTTTAGGGTGTTTATTGTACTCCTATATCCTGTCCTGTAGGTCTAGTTTAGGGTGTTTATTGTACTCCTATATCCTGTCCTGTAGGTCTAGTTTAGGGTGTTTATTGTACTCCTATATCCTGTCCTGTAGGTCTAGTTTAGGGTGTTTATTGTACTCCTATATCCTGTCCTGTAGGTCTAGTTTAGGGTGTTTATTGTACTCCTATATCCTGTCCTGTAGGTCTAGTTTAGGGTGTTTATTGTACTCCTATATCCTGTCCTGTAGGTCTAGTTTAGGGTGTTTATTGTACTCCTATATCCTGTCCTGTAGGTCTAGTTTAGGGTGTTTATTGTACTCCTATATCCTGTCCTGTAGGTCTAGTTTAGGGTGTTTATTGTACTCCTATATCCTGTCCTGTAGGTCTAGTTTAGGGTGTTTATTGTACTCCTATATCCTGTCCTGTAGGTCTAGTTTAGGGTGTTTATTGTACTCCTATATCCTGTCCTGTAGGTCTAGTTTAGGGTGTTTATTGTACTCCTATATCCTGTCCTGTAGGTCTAGTTTAGGGTGTTTATTGTACTCCTATATCCTGTCCTGTAGGTCTAGTTTAGGGTGTTTATTGTACTCCTATATCCTGTCCTGTAGGTCTAGTTTAGGGTGTTTATTGTACTCCTATATCCTGTCCTGTAGGTCTAGTTTAGGGTGTTTATTGTACTCCTATATCCTGTCCTGTAGGTCTAGTTTAGGGTGTTTATTGTACTCCTATATCCTGTCCTGTAGGTCTAGTTTAGGGTGTTTATTGTACTCCTATATCCTGTCCTGTAGGTCTAGTTTAGGGTGTTTATTGTACTCCTATATCCTGTCCTGTAGGTCTAGTTTAGGGTGTTTATTGTACTCCTATATCCTGTCCTGTAGGTCTAGTTTAGGGTGTTTATTGTACTCCTATATCCTGTCCTGTAGGTCTAGTTTAGGGTGTTTATTGTACTCCTATATCCTGTCCTGTAGGTCTAGTTTAGGGTGTTTATTGTACTCCTATATCCTGTCCTGTAGGTCTAGTTTAGGGTGTTTATTGTACTCCTATATCCTGTCCTGTAGGTCTAGTTTAGGGTGTTTATTGTACTCCTATATCCTGTCCTGTAGGTCTAGTTTAGGGTGTTTATTGTACTCCTATATCCTGTCCTGTAGGTCTAGTTTAGGGTGTTTATTGTACTCCTATATCCTGTCCTGTAGGTCTAGTTTAGGGTGTTTATTGTACTCCTATATCCTGTCCTGTAGGTCTAGTTTAGGGTGTTTATTGTACTCCTATATCCTGTCCTGTAGGTCTAGTTTAGGGTGTTTATTGTACTCCTATATCCTGTCCTGTAGGTCTAGTTTAGGGTGTTTATTGTACTCCTATATCCTGTCCTGTAGGTCTAGTTTAGGGTGTTTATTGTACTCCTATATCCTGTCCTGTAGGTCTAGTTTTTTCAGCCTTGTGCCCTTACCTTATTTCCATTTACACACAGTTTTTCCTGTAAAGTCTTTGATAATTTTTCTCTGTAAAACCCACATGGAGCATTTCCCAGGAACCTTGATTGTATACTGTCTCCACAAGTCTCTCTGAGTGTTCTTTCAGCGGTCTACAACACAATTAAAAAATAAAAATACAACAGACCTAGAGTCGACACTGATCAGCTTCTTATGCTGACTTTAAATATCTTTTTTCGTTTAAGTAGCTGTTTTCTGACTGTTATGCATAGCAAAATGATCCACACAAACTTCACCAGAAAAAGAGAAAAAGTCATTCGTTGATTCAGGAGATTTCAACATATTCCTGAATTTTTTATGCAATTTATCTTTTGAGGTTTATCCATTAATTTTCATAAAGTATTGTTCTTGTGAGGATCTGAATGTTTTTACCTGTACACAGTAAAACATGTTTTAAATCATCCTTAATACTCCAGGGGTTTATGCTCACTTTCACTCTCTGCACCCCTGGAATATGTCATAGCAAAATGGAAGGCTCAGTGTGCATCACCTTGTGTATGAGATGACTAGTTTTAATCCTTCGCTGTACAATAGAAGAATATGTTTGTTGCGTAATGGTTAAATGGGCTGGCTTTAGCATCGGGTGTCACTCCACTGTATCGTCGAAGGACAGGTAAATTAGCCACAGCGATTAGTCTAGTTTTTTTTACCTGATGCCTTCAATTTGGTATGACATATTCAAGAGGAGGGGGTGGGGGGGGGGGATCAGAAGTGAGCCTTACCCCATGGAGTATTAAGGATGGTTTAAAACAAATCCTGCTGAATTTTGATGGTTAATTAGGAACAAAATTATATATGGATGCAAGATGATTATCTGTGATCTGCCTTGTAGTTTAGGGCCAAATGTTCAGATCAATTCTAAAATTCATCAGTTCACCCTATCTGATTCAGATTATAGGTAACAAACTCCATATCAATATAACTAGTTTGTTACTGAATTCAAATATCAGATGTTTACAATGTTCAGTATGTGTTGGCAGTTCCTTATGTTTTTTTAACTTTTATTATAAATATGATTGATGTAATTAAAAAAAGAAAAAAAAAACTGTGAAAGTTTGTTGTAACCCAACCATTATATAAAATGAGTCATATAAATAGTGAACAACTCTGTCTGTTGATGTAACAGTAGTGTTGTCACTTTATTTTGGACCATATGTACATGTATAGTGAACAACTCTGTCTGTTGATGTAACAGTAGTGTTGTCACTTTATTTTGGACCATATATACATGTATAGTGAACAACTCTGTCTGTTGATGTAACAGTAGTGTTGTCACTTTATTTTGGACCATATATACATGTATAGTGAACAACTCTGTCTGTTGATGTAACAGTAGTGTTGTCACTTTATTTTGGACCATATATACATGTATAGTGAACAACTCTGTCTGTTGATGTAACAGTAGTGTTGTCACTTTATTTTGGACCATATATACATGTATAGTGAACAACTCTGTCTGTTGATGTAACAGTAGTGTTGTCACTTTATTTTGGACCATATATACATGTATAGTGAACAACTCTGTCTGTTGATGTAACAGTAGTGTTGTCACTTTATTTTGGACCATATATACATGTATAGTGAACAACTCTGTCTGTTGATGTAACAGTAGTGTTGTCACTTTATTTTGGACCATATATACATGTATAGTGAACAACTCTGTCTGTTGATGTAACAGTAGTGTTGTCACTTTATTTTGGACCATATATACATGTATAGTGAACAACTCTGTCTGTTGATGTAACAGTAGTGTTGTCACTTTATTTTGGACCATATATACATGTATAGTGAACAACTCTGTCTGTTGATGTAACAGTAGTGTTGTCACTTTATTTTGGACCATATATACATGTATAGTGAACAACTCTGTCTGTTGATGTAACAGTAGTGTTGTCACTTTATTTTGGACCATATATACATGTATAGTGAACAACTCTGTCTGTTGATGTAACAGTAGTGTTGTCACTTTATTTTGGACCATATATACATGTATAGTGAACAACTCTGTCTGTTGATGTAACAGTAGTGTTGTCACTTTATTTTGGACCATATATACATGTATAGTGAACAACTCTGTCTGTTGATGTAACAGTAGTGTTGTCACTTTATTTTGGACCATATATACATGTATAGTGAACAACTCTGTCTGTTGATGTAACAGTAGTGTTGTCACTTTATTTTGGACCATATATACATGTATAGTGAACAACTCTGTCTGTTGATGTAACAGTAGTGTTGTCACTTTATTTTGGACCATATATACATGTATAGTGAACAACTCTGTCTGTTGATGTAACAGTAGTGTTGTCACTTTATTTTGGACCATATATACATGTATAGTGAACAACTCTGTCTGTTGATGTAACAGTAGTGTTGTCACTTTATTTTGGACCATATATACATGTATAGTGAACAACTCTGTCTGTTGATGTAACAGTAGTGTTGTCACTTTATTTTGGACCATATATACATGTATAGTGAACAACTCTGTCTGTTGATGTAACAGTAGTGTTGTCACTTTATTTTGGACCATATATACATGTATAGTGAACAACTCTGTCTGTTGATGTAACAGTAGTGTTGTCACTTTATTTTGGACCATATATACATGTATAGTGAACAACTCTGTCTGTTGATGTAACAGTAGTGTTGTCACTTTATTTTGGACCATATATACATGTATAGTGAACAACTCTGTCTGTTGATGTAACAGTAGTGTTGTCACTTTATTTTGGACCATATATACATGTATAGTGAACAACTCTGTCTGTTGATGTAACAGTAGTGATGTCACTTTATTTGGGACCATATATACATGTATAGTGAATAACTCTGTCTGTTGATGCAACAGTAGTGTTGTCACTTTATTTGGGACCATATATACATGTATAGTGAACAACTCTGTCTGTTGATGTAACAGTAGTGATGTCACTTTATTTTGGACCATATATACATGTATAGTAAACAACTCTGTCTGTTGATGTAACAGTAGTGTTGTCACTTTATTTTGGACCATATATACATGTATAGTGAACAACTCTGTCTGTTCACAGTTGATGTAACTGGAGTGTTGTCACTTCATCTGGGGTTATCAGCTCCATTACATTATAAACTATAAACTGATTATGAAATTGATCATCATTTCTCACTTCTGATTACGAATCAATTATGATTTCAAACTGACTGCCCATCACTCTCTGCCTTGTACCTCTCTCATCGACTCATCCTGCTGATGGTCGCCTTGAGGAAGCATCCAATGTTCATAATCGCCAATCCTTTGTTTTACCACCAGAAATAGTTTCTTGTCAAGCTTTCTATTCAAAGACTGAAGGTCATTTTCTTTGTCAGCAGCTGAAATATACAAAACAAATCCAGTTTGGTTATGTGTTTTTCTGATTCTGCGTTAGATAACACTGTTTTTCTATGACAATATCCGAATTTCAGTACCAGGATATAAGTCCTATTATGTCTTTTCTAATAACTCATAATAACCTAAATCCACGCTTAAGGAAACTAAGGGAAAAGGAGAACTTTTACATCAATATACACCTATAGCTACCTCCCAATCACCAACAATTCTTCAAATGTGATCAAGTATGACCTTTAACCTTGACCACCAAAATTTAAGCATGTGTAGGACAATGTTATAAATATGAACTCAATCTGTTAAGGTGTTCTGGACATTTTATTTTATTCAAACTTTTTAACATCAAAAGTGGTTAAGTGTGACTTTAAACTTGACCGATGACCACCAAAATCTTTGCCAGTTGTAGGACTCCATGTTACCCTAAATTGCTATAAATATGAACTCAATCTGTTAATGTGTTCAGGAGATGTTTTTCTTGTAGGCAAACTTTTTACTTCAATTTAAAATTATCAACTGTGACCTTTAACCCTTTTACCTTGACCAATAACTATTGATGACATCATAGATGTTGTGTATTGTTTCAAGTCACATGACTTTCATTGTTACTCCACTATCACTATGCAGTGGTCATCAAATAGACAGCTTGTCTAGCAGGTCGAGACCAGTCACCACCTACATTTATACAGTTCTGAAAACTGAAATCCAGGAGTTACTTTAACTTGCTTCTTTCATCTTTCTATATATCCAATTTGATGAGAGGGCACTGCACTAGCCCTCTTTTAACAAAACAATCAGTAAAACATTTTCTACAAAGTTCCCAAACATTTTCAGTTCTGAACATACATAAAGGCTGATGCGAACCTGTTTCTCTACTTCCTCCTTCCAAAACAAATTCAAGAGCATCCTTTTCCCAGCTGTCCTCTAAATCAGCGGCTGTGAGTTTGGTTTCTTCTGGGAGTCCAGCAGACACCTCACCTCCCTTTAACGGTTCTGATGAACCAGACTCTGCTTCTATTTGCTTCTTTTTTGCCCTTGCAATAAAGAAACAATACAGAAAAATAAAATTTCAATCTCTTTTATACTCTCAGTTCAATTTTATTGAAAACCTGTGTGAACTGAGAACAGGATGCGTTTAAAATAAGTATAACTTCAATATCAAATTAATTAAACCTTTTAAGCTAATCGAAGGTTGGTACTTCAACCATTATTATAAATGCAAGTGCAATGATGTGATGCCAATGACATGATTGACATCTAGACTTTACCTTCTTGCTAGGGCTTCTCACAGGAGAACAATTTATGTTTTGGAGGGTTAAAGCCAAATTCTGATGGACTGTTTAAAACATTTCGTAATGCATCATAAAAGTTTTTCTCAGAGATGTACTGTTAGATCTTAACAAATACAGAAATACAGTTGAATACATAGAATTATTTCAGTCAAAGAACTATTTCAGTTAAATACAGAGAACTACTTCTGCATTAGGTATGTTGATCAAAACTTTCAAGCACAGTGGCTGAATCCTCAGTGAGGGTCTTTTTTATAATAAGAGTTCACTTCAGAACTTCCAAGCCATCTAGTCCGAATTATTCTGACGTTTTATGAATTTTTTTCATATCGGTCTGTCGTTGATTAACGTCAGAACTCCGGCCCTCTATAATATGTGGGAAATATGCGACCCGCGCCCGGAGCGCACTTCAAACTGATATTTTGGAAACAAATCGTCACTTTCACACACATGTCGCACATGGATCGAAAGATCTATTCTTTATGCACTAGGTGATATCAATAACATGTTTCAAAGATCATTACGAAAAGTATTTTCCAACGTTTTCTATACCAACCCATGTATTTAATGGAAATTAGGCCATGAGCAATGTCACATGACTTGATGAGATCTCGAGTTTCCGAAAGTATTTCCCAACGTTATGACGTAGGCCGGCGAGATTTTAGTCACATGACATTAGAAGGCGGGGCTATCAAAAAACTAGAGCAAAACAGAGTAAGTTTGAAAAACTATGTTTTTAGTGATTGTATTGGTTGTTTGAGGCATGTTATGTATGTTCATCTTGTGCATAAAGAATAGATCTTTCGATCCATGTGCGACATGTGTGTGAAAGTGACGGTTTGTTTCTAAAATATCGGTTTGAAGTGCGCTCCGGGCGCGGGTCGCATATTTCCCGCATATTATAGAGGGCCGGAGTTCTGACATTAATCGAAGACAGACCGATATGAAAAAAGTCGATAAAACATCAGAATAATTCGGACTACAAACCATCCAACGATAAAAACCAAAAAGAATGAATAAACAAAAGGCCTACTGGGCATGTTAAGTTCACTTGTTATTATATGCTATTGGAAAACACTTCTCCTATATGTGACTTATAGAGCTGGTCAAGGGCAAATTTATTTTTAAAAAAGTCATTCACCAGAAAGACTTGATACCTCATCCCACATACCAGTATGTTACAGGAAAATATTATGACGGTTTGGCCTTCTGGTTATTCAGAAGTAATTGTTTAAGTGGGTCAAGGTCATTCATTTGAACAAACTTTATAGCCATTGTTGAAATAATTTGTATTTTGCTGCTTCATAGACGTCTAGGCCAGTGTTCATTTCTATCCACCATTTAACTAAATTGTGTTGTTTCTTTAATAAGAAATATTTGTTGTATGGATTTTAATTTAACTCTAACAGATCAGAATCATGGTTAAGCAAGTAGTAGTCTGCCCATTTTCTACCTGGTACTCAGCACTTGAACACGTCAAAAACTCTATATACTTACATGTCCTCCAAATGTTTCAATTCATGGTCACACAAAACACTCTGTTCTAGTTCTATTTTCTGTAGATTAATGCTGATTCTGTCTTCCAAAGGAGTCTTCTGCTGCACTATTTTGGGATATCGTTCTAAGCACACAGCGCTTGCCAATGTCCATTTTTCATCTATGGGTCTGCTTTCAGTCGCAACAGCTGTAGCCAGAGATGTTCTCTGATAAGCTAAAAATACACATACAATCTTAACTTCATCATGAAAGTGGTATATCAGTTACAGTTCTATATATATAAACCATTATTTTGTAACTCACAATTCACAGTAATGCTCCAGCCCAAGTTTCATCTGGCCCCAACACCAGACTTCACCATTTTGACAGATAGATGTCTGTTGTGGGCCCCAGACATCTATCTGTCAAAATGTCTTAAGTGTGGTGTCAGGGTCAGAGGAAACTCGGGCAAAGTAATGTTCATTATCATTCCAAACATTGATTGGAATATCATAAAAAAAAAACATTATTCCCCCCCCCAAAAAAAACTTGAAAAAATAATAATGCTGCAGGGCAAAACTTATCTCAACTGAGCCATTTACACAAGTAATTTCCAAGGCGAATGAGATTCACAAGATAACCTGACCATCAGTGATTGCTCCTCTTGTTACCGTAATATAATCAAGGTGTTTCAAAATCAGGAGGAAATCAAATTGATAACACACATTGATTCAGTGTAGCCTAAGCTACTTGTCAGAGATGTTCTAAATCACCGTTCAGTAATTACATAATATTATACACGTAATTGGAATTAATTTCATACTTGTAGCCGATTTAACAAGCAAATTCGTGGAATTTATATCCCCCGCTTGCAGGACATATTGTAGGTTAACATTATTGAGGTTAGGTTTAAACATGTGAGTATCGTGCTGTTGAGACATAATGTATAGCTTGAAACTTGAAGAAGAATCCGTAAATATGCACAAATCACATTGGTTGGCAAACTTAGCATGAGTTGGATGGATATAAGGAATTTGGTTGAAACATCTTAACAATATCTACAGCAACAAGCACTAATTGTAATGGGAGACCATTACAGATATCCCCTAAACTGCCCCCATAGTCGCAAAGATGCATCAGAAAAGGATCGCATTGCCATAGTACACCTACAATGTACATAATAAATTTGAGTGAAATTGAGCAATTCCTAAATTGCAACCAATCAGAATCCTCTGTGTAGTTGCTATGGTAACGGAACGTATGCGATTGAATTTGCAGTCCCCTAATACCCCTATATACCAATTTTCATCGAAATCAAACAATATCTAAATTGCGACCAATCAGAAGCCTCCTTGTGGTCGCTATGGTAACACAACTTATGCGGTTGAATTTGCAGTCCCCTTATACTCCTCTATAACGATTTTCATCAAAATCAAACAATATCTGAATTTCCACCAATCAGAAGCCTTCTTGTGGTTGCTATATGGTTGCTACCGCAACGAAACCTATGCGGTTGAATTCGCAGTTGCCTAATATCCCCATATACCAATTTTCATCAAAATCGAACAATACCTAAATTTCGACCAATCATAAGCCTCATTGTGGTTGCTATGTTAACGAAACTTATGCGGTTGTATTCTCAGTCCCCTTATACCCCAAGATACCAATATTCATCAAAATTGAATATTATCTAAATTTCGACCAATTAGAAGCCTCCGTGTGTTTGCTATGATAAGGAAACTAATGCAGTTTTATTTGCAGTCCCCTAATATCCCTATATACAAGTTTTCATCAAAATCTAACAATATTTAAATTTCGACCAATCAGAAGCCTCTGTGTGGTAGCTATGGCAACGAGACTGATGCGGTTAAATTTGCAGTCCCCTAATATCCCTATTTACCAATTTTCATCAAAATCATACCAAGTTTAAAGAAAAACGGTTAACATTTGTTGTAGTTCTTGCAGGAAACAAAATGCAGCAGATAATGACGTTTCATTATTCAAGGGGCCATAACTCCGCCAAATGGGGTCTGCTGAAATTGGTCATCAAACTTGGTCGAGCCCATAAGGCATTTTACCCTGTGACCAAGTTTGCAGAAAATCGGTTAATATTTGTTGTAGTTTTTGCACAGAAACGAAGCGTGACAGATGGACAGGCAGACCCATATTAATATCCCCCGTTTCGGTGAAAGCGGGGGATAATAATTAATCATGTATATGGAACCAATGTTTTTCGCAACACAAGATTTATATTCCAACAGTTTTTAGCAATACTTATGTATTGATAGCTTTAGTAGTGATTCATCTGGCCCCAACATGACAGCACGTGGCAGATATTTTCGTTGAAACTTAAATTGAAATCATCAGCATAATAACAGTTTAATTGACTCTAAGACTTTTAAAATATATGCAACTTCTATCATTTAAAATTAAAAAAAAAAAAGTAAGCTACAATTTGTAACTGGAATTATGTCAAATAGTTACATTTACTGTACCTACATAGCGGTCAATTCAGATTTGAATTGCGCTTGCTACATTAACTTGATAATTTAACGACATTTTAGGCAGAATTTAACTTCACATGATGCGGACAAATGTGCTGTCAATTAATTCTAAAATCTCCCCAGTGTGATTCACACCAGGCTTGCTCCATTACAAGGCATGTGATTGATTTAATACATGGCCGGGGCAGAGGAGGCCGAGTATTAACATTAGTACTCTGCAAAACCCTGCCATTGTTTTGCAGAGTTTTTATTGTTTAGAGAGGATTTGAAAAAATAGGGTAACAACTAACAATTGATTATTTTTAAAGAACCAACGTTATGCCATGATGCAGCGGAAACATGTCCCCACTGAAAATCCAAACTCCCTACTTCAAATTACAAATCTCCTCACATTGTGTTCAAAATCATCACATGACAAGACCATCTGCCTGAACTGGCTGAAGCTGAGAAGCAGGAGTTTCCTTCGGCCCAAACAAAATATCTACTTTTATTTAACATTTTGCATGTGTGACAGAAATGGACACATCTATATGCCAAACAGATACATAAATACAGACAGATTTGTCGCACGGGGACCTGAGAATTTGTTACAGCTACATAGATTGATTTTGCAGTAAAACGATAAAAATATATATGATCATTGTGGGTGGCATTTTTACTGAAAATCGATCTCAAGACTAAACCCCCAAAATATGTAAAATTACTCTGAACACCTTAGTTTAGGCAGAGACGTATATGGCTTTATACGTCTCTGGTTTAGGTTCAAATATAGCTGTAACGCCGGTAACAAATGCTCAGGGCCCGTATTCATGAAACAGTTCTCATGCTCAAGCATTGATTCTGTGCTCAAGCCAGCTTTCTTGTAACTCACCTAAATCATGTCAACGAACAAAACGTCAATTATAAATATTGAAAACAGTATTTGGTTTAGTCTCTTCAATTTTTCTTCAAAACTTTGACAAAATAAGATTTTAAAAATCATTTAGAACAGGAACAAGTATTATGCTTGAGCACAAAATCCATGCTTGAGCATGAAAACAGTTTCATGAATACGGGCCCTGCTGGTCTCTGTGATTTGTCGGTACTCCGGACCCGGCCGTACATCTGTCAAAATGTCGAACGCAGGGTCAGTTACTAACTTTACATTTAAAGACATATTTTACGCTACCCAAAATCAATTACATGGGTAAAAATTAACTGCAATACATATGTTACCACCATTAGTACATCCGCATACCTCTGAATGCTGTAAGTCGCTGTGCAAATCGTGGAAAAATGTTCAGAGAGCTCCTCACGATCGTAGCCATGCTTTTGACCGGAAGTTGATCATAAGTTATAACGAACGAAACCGGGAGACGGTTAAATTATCCGTACAAAACTTAAACTTCAACTCAACTTCAACAGGATACTCTAAAACGTTCAATATACTGAACATTATTGAGAGGCGTCAGAAAGATCGGTTAAAAACAAGTTTTTTTTGTTTTGTTTTTTTAGAAATATACGATAAAAACAACATGTCACTTAGAATTTGTGAGAGAGGAGATTTTCCTTCAGTGTTGAGAGGTCTGCACTGTCGGCGATGTGGGAGGCTGTTCCAGGTACGAATTGCTCTAGGACAGAATGAATTTGCATGATAATTTGTGGAGCTGTGTGGAATCTGGAATTTGTTTGTAAACAATTTGCATGATGAGTCGAATCTTGCACCGTTCTATGATATTACTTTTCAGTGAAGCGGTCGGTAGGGACAGCTTTCAAACATGTGTAATAATCTTCGTTTTGCCCTCTTGTAATCAGAAATACCATTACAGTTCACGAAAATGTGGATAAGTACACATTCAACGAAAAATTCAAGTCATGACACATGGTTTGAAACATGTACATGCAATGTAAATTTTACATTTCCATGTACGTGTATACATGCGTAATCTTAAGTTGACAATGCGCGCAAATAACAAGTCTCCGAAAAAGATACAATGTTGTACAATGCTTCTGAAATCAAGACGACACCGACCTCAAACGTTCTATCCGACCAATCGACGAACCAGATGCAGTGAGTGACACGCTGAATCAACCGTTCGGTTTGTGGGCGTGTTCTTTTTGAATTTGATTGAGCGAGATTGGACGGTAATTTTGCGGTTGGCTTTTTGCCCCTTTTTAAATACAGGGGCTACAATGGCAGTTTTCCAGTCTGAGGGAACTACACCGCTTGAGAGGGAACAGTTAAAGAGATCTGTGATAATTGGAGCTATTTCAACATAGACATGTTTAAGGAAATTTGGAGAATTTTTATAAGGGCCTGTGGCTTTCTTGGGGTCCAGGTTTTTAAGAAGTTTAGAAACACCAGGAATTGTCACGGTGATATTGATGTCTGACAGGTAGTTTGCAGGCTTTGTGTGAGGAATAGAGGTCAGTTCACAGAGATGAGACAATTTGAGCGGGACTGGATTGGTAAAGACAGAGTGGAATTGTCTGTTTAGTGTTTATGCTTGGGATTTTGGGTCAGAGTCAGAGCTTGAAGGGGGCTCTCAAGGGGAGATTTCTGCGCATCGAATTCGCGCCGGGTAACAGTTCGCTCTGACCGGGAAAACGGTTTTGACTGTTTCACCCCTACAGCCGAAATTGGACAAAAAAACAGAAACAGTCAAAAATGACTAGTTATAATTTATATAGACTATTGGGTAATAATATGTTATGCCATCGACCTTGAGTGGTAATACCCCAAAATTTTCAGATTTTTGGTTTTGTACAAAAGACCAGAATTGTTAGTTGAGCTTTCTTTTAATTGGGAGACCCAGAACATCCGCATCAAGAGCGTGTGATGCTAGTGAGGGCTTACGTGTTATATTTTTCCCAAAAAGAAAAAATCCTATATATAGATCTAGTAACTTAAATAACAGAGGCGGATCTCCAGAATTTAAGCAATGGAATAGCAAGAAATATAACCCAGAAGTTTCCAAACTCTAACGACGCTCAAACAATATGAAGCTTCATGTACCTGGTCGGTGACGAACGGCCCAGTCCTATTCCGCTACATTCCTCCCTCCTTTCCCCAAGTCTTCGCTCCCGAAGAAACAACGATTTACATAGATTTGTGTATCCCTTTACCAAACAGTCACCTTTAGCTATATACGTATACCTAGTGCTTCAAACAAGGGTTGGCAAGCTTGACGGACCGACGCCCTACCAATTGCGCTGCCTACCTGGTCGCCGACGATTGACCCAGTCCAATTCCTCTAAACTAACTATAGTGACACTATTTACATTCGAATGGGTAACGAACTATAACTGTAAATCCCTATCAATGTTTGATATGTTATTAATTCGATTGAAATAAACTTCGATTGTTTTCGTCCGAGATGCGGTTACCGGCATGGTACGTTGTGCGTTCTTTCGAGTTTGTTTTTTGCTCAACGTGATCATATATGACTTTCAAATGACAACTGTAGCTCTCATCTTATTTATATCTTGCCTTTTCACTTGAAATTAATTGTTTTATGTTCTGTCGAATAGGATACGCGAGAACAATATATTTCTACTTATTAAGACATTTCAGATTATTCCGTTTAATTTTCTCGTTTTTATTTTTTAGCGACTCCCGAGAAATCCGCCACAATGACATAAGACTGGACATCTGGTGCTAATCTTCTGCGATAAAGTGGCCAACAAATTTAAGTTTTGCTGGTGGAATGGCAAATCGATTGGTTTGACCCTTTGTTCAAATGCAGCGATGAAACGACAGAATGTTCGATGCATAAATGTCCTTCCTTTTAGAAGTCAAAAGATAGATTAAAACATTCTCGGAACAGATCGAGGTGAGGATGTAGGTTGTCAAGTTACACATTGCGCCTTCAACTCTCTGTAACCTACATCACATTTCTGAGATTGAGAGACTATGATTGGTGATACATCCTTTGTTTTTATCTCCAGATTTTTGTTTGATTTATGATGTCTTCCCTTATATTTTGCCGTTTCTTCAATTCCTGTTGTTTTCTTTAGGGGTTAGATAATCATTAAATCAGGCGCATAGATGCCTTTAAATGAATCTACTCCGAGCAAGGACTAACTACGCCCATGTAAATACCTTTGTATACAAGTAGACTGATCAATTAGCGGTCAAACAAGAGTTCTGTTTTTAAAGGTGAAACGACATATTGAACTGGTTTTTTTGTCTTTTAGAGGTAAAAAAAAAGATTGAACATTTTGCCATCTGGAGGTCAAACGGTAGATTGAACTTTTTGTTTCTTTTGGAAGTCGATCGATATATTTAACCTTTTTGCGTCTTTTTGGACCTCAAACGAGAAATTAAACCTTTAGTGTGTATTGGACGTCAAACGGTAGATTACACTTTGTGTGTCTTATGGAGGTCAAACGGTAGCTTGAACAATTTTGAGTTTTGTTTTTTCGTCAAACGGTAGCTTGAACATTTGAGTGTTTTTGAGGTCAAACGATAGATTGAACATTTTGTGTCTTCTGGAGGTTAAACGTTAGATTGAACATTTTTTGTCTCTGGGGTGAAACGATACATTGGATATTTTGTGTCTTCTGAAGGTGAAACGAAAGATTGAACATTTTATCTATTGGAGGTGAAACGAACGGTTGAACATTTTGTCATCTAGAGGTCAAACGGTAGATTGGACTTTTTGTCATCTGGAGGTTAAACGGTAGATTAAACATTTTGTCATCTGGATGTCAAACGGTAGATTAAACATTTTGTCATCTGGAGGTCAAACGGTAGATTGAACGTTTTGTTTCTTTTGGAAGTCGATCGATATATTTAACATTTTGCGTCTTTTTGGACGTCAAACGAGAAATTAAACCTTTTGTGTTTATTGGACGTCAAACGGTAGATTACACTTTGTGTGTCTTCTGGAGGTCAAACAGTAGCTTGAACAAATTTGATTTTTTTTGTTTTTTACGTCAAACGGTAGCTTGAACATTTTGTCTTTTGGCGGTCAAACGATAGATTGGACATTTTTTGTCTTCTTGAGTTGAAACGAAAGATTGACCATTTTGTCTTTTGGAGGTCAAACGAAAGGTTGACATTTTGTGTCTTCTGAAGGTGAAAGAATATATAGAACATTTTGTGTCTTCTGAAGGTGAAACGGTAGATTGAACAGTTTGTGTCTTCTGAAGGTGAAACGATAGATTGAACATTTTGTGTCGTTTGGAGGTTAAATGATAGGTTGACATTTTTTGTCTTCTGAAGGTGATAGATTGAACATTTTGTGTCGTTTGGAGGTCACACGGTAGGTTGAACATTTTTTGTCTTCTTGAGCTGAAACGAAAGATTGAACGTTTTATCTTTTGGAGGTCAAACGATAGGTTGATATTTTGTGTCTTCTGAAGGTCAAACGATAGATAGAACATTTTGTGTTTTTTGGAAGTCAAAAGGTAGATTGAACATTTTGTATCGGTTTAAAGGCCAAAGTATAAAAAAAAGATTTAGTTGAAATTGGTCAAATGATATCAGCGAACCGATATCTGATTAAGTAATGGATCAATGTGATGAGCTAGTAAACAAGCAGTCGAATGATAGATTGAAATTGTTTTGGGTTCACATAAATATATGAATCGAACAAAATGGTAGATCGGTAATATTTTATCAATGGTTTTATTGTACATCCGGGTCGTTACTCATGCAATCGTTCTCGTGCTCAAACACAGGTTATTGTTCCGGAGATATATAAGTAGCGTTTCACATTTTGTCAATGATCTGGAAGATTTTAGAGAAACTTAAAACCGAAATACTGCTTTAAATATTTACACCTGACTTTCTTGCTTGCTGCTTCCCACCATACAAAAGCAAATTACAAGAACGTTGGTTTGAGCACATCATCCATGCCGGAGTATGAGAGCGGATTCAGGAATATAATACGGACCTTGGTTTCTTGACATGTTTAGATACGTGAGGGAATTCAATGTGTAACCGGTATTGAGATATGATGGTTGGAACATAACATCGTTTCTATATATATACGCCAAACAATTGCTGAACTTGCTGTTTCTTTTTCAGTCAAGCTGGACATTGGACTGCAGGCTGTTCTATTTATAGGGCAGATGATATATTGGCCACATTGTTCATCAGAAAAGTCGAACTAAGTTTGAAAATACTGCTCTAAAGAAGTCAATAGATGTTTGTTTAAATCAGGTTTTGTGTACCTTATATGGCTCAAATATCACAATTAGCCCCAGTTTTCTCTGGCCCTAACACCAGGCTTAGACATTTTGACATATAGATGTCTGGTGTGGGACCAGAGCCCACTGCTATATGAAAACGTGGAATTCTCAATACCTTTGGTATCGGAGTGACTAATCAACAAATAAACGCGGTCTGGAAGTCTAAACAAAAATAATATATTCGGTTTTCGGAGGGTATCGGTGCCGTTTGTTGAGAATTCATCCCATGACCTACACAAATGGCGTTTGCTCAGTCATAATGTCCAAGTCTGCTGATAGGGCCAGAGGAAACTCGGGCTAATATCACAATGAACATTTTCTCTTTGATTAAAGTACACTGTATTTCCATAGGTTATGGAATTCTTGATTCTTTTAGCAGTAAAAGGATTACTCATGTCGATTTCAAATGATTTCTTGGATAAAGCTTGACCAACAAGACGTCCAATGATTAAAAAGCATGTTTTTATAATGGTATATTCCATATTTAATAAAATTTAACTGTATGAGGTCATGGTATTCAAATAGCCATACAACAAGCGAAAACTGCAATGTTGGGAATACACAACAAATTTTGACAGAGTCGTGTTAAGTCCACAACAACTAGTTAATAATTTCCTGACTTTTACTTAATGAATTTAATTTCACTTATGGTATTCTTGGAAAGTTGATAAAAAATATTGAAAATGAAAACTGAGATTATTTGTGTATTTTTTTTTAATATCACAAAGTATAAATTGCATGATATTATGCAGTCAATCAAAATGCTTTAATGAAATCATCCTTAAAATAAAATCCATAAATATCCATCTAGAATAGACAGACAGCATATTGGATGAGATTTGTAAAACTCTTGTTTAATTCACCAACTCACTCACTGCTGAACATAATTATTTCAAGGTCATTTTTTTTTCTTTCCTAAATCAACCATGTATATATGTTTTCCTCTATATATACCGGTATGTAGTGCCAAACCACTATAAATAGTCACAATTGTATCGGCCTTACAGTGCCAGTATTACAACGTATTTTGTCAGTTTTAGAAGTATTTATTGGATTATATTCCAATCTGAGTGCCCCTTGATTCAAGTTGTTGGTTATTACATGTTTATCATGAACTTCAATCCTCACAATTTAACCAAAAAAATAACAAATCAATTTGTCTTTGTGCTAATTATATTTGGTGATGCAAAGTAATGTGGTAAACTATTTATAAAGTAAAAGCCAATGAAACAAATATTTAAAGAATTAGTTGAAACACAGAAACTTATTGTTGTGAAAGTAATGAAAACTGGTTTGTTCTCTCAGGCTTGAAACATAAACATTTCTAGTTATCACAGATTGTGCGGGTGATGTAAACTCTAGATCTGTTTTTCAAGACACTACATCAACAGTCAGAGCAGATCTAGTGGGTCAGCTAACTTGGTACTTCTTTCTCAGCTTTTCAACGTCAGCATCTGAAGCATGTCCTTCTTTCTTAACAGTATCCAGTAAATCTTTTATAACTGAGGGGAAGAAAACATACACAATTAAGTCTTATAACTGTAGAGAAAAGGACACATTTTACACAAGTCTTTTATAACTGTTTGGGAAAACATCCTTAGTGTACGACAGAGCATTTAATCAACAAAGCAACAACATTTCTGTAGAAAAGCCCATTTTGCTTTCCATGCAAGTATGATTAAGAAGTGCAGAGCTGAACAGACACATTTATGGTTATACATACATTAGGCAAACCAAGTCATACCAGGTCAAACAGAGGTCATAATGGGCCAGCCAGATACTATCAGGACAAACAGAGGTCATATTGAGCAAATCAGAGGTCATGACTGGACACCCAAAGTCTTATTAGGACAAACAGTGGTCAAACTGGGCAAAATGGTGATAACAAGTGATGTCAAACAGAGATCATACCGGGCCAAACTGTCCTAAAATGGGTCAAATGGGATGTAAACTGAGGTCATATAATTAGGCCAAATGCTGATAGCATTGGTCAAGGACAGCTTTCAAACAGAGTCAAAATGAAGCCAAAACAGGTAAAATGTGAAATGGAAATACATGCAATAACATTAACATTAACATAAAACTTTAATGGCAACGACATGTAGTCTACTGACCTTGTTGTTCCTTCCGTGAGAAGAACATAACAGTCATATCAAATCGCTTAACACCGGAAAGTTGACACAGATGAGGATAAACCATGATACCATCTCTACAAAGAAATGAACAACAATTTCCTATTAATACAAATTAAGTGATATTTTTTTTAATTTTTGCATTAATTCATGAGGAGAGATGATCATGAATTCAAATATCTCATAAACATTTATTAAAGTACAAATAAACGAGGAAGATATATTCTTCCTATCATATTGTTGAAATAACTAGGAAGATAAATCAAGGGAAAATAAATGTTTGTGATTCTTTTTCTTACCGTAAAAAATACTGTTGGAATACAATTAACATCTTCAGTAAGATTTCAGCATCTAGGGCTTCTCCAAACAACTTCAAATAGTTGCTCGGATCAATTGCCTGCAAGAAAGAAAAAAAGATGCATCACTTAATTTGTAATGATAGATACATGTTTTTTTGATGAGTATTTAACATCAGAGTTGAAGAAGGAAATATTGCTGAACTTAGACTTTGTAAAACAAAAAAAAATATATATACACGATGTCGTGAACTAACAAACATACATTTTACATGATGGGGAGCTATTTCAGTTCTTAGGTCATCAAACTATAAACTGAGCCTTATTATTCCATCAACTATAATGTGGTTGTCCCATTATCCAGCACTACAAAGTCAGCATCAGATCCACGCTATCACAAGGAGGCAAATACACCAACATACCGCCTACAGCACACATACACACATACATTACACACATTACACAAATTACACACATGTATACAAATTACACACATGGAGGCACGTCCTTAAATGACCCTAAGCTGTTAATAGGATATTAAACCTTATAAAACCAACCAAACAGATATCCAGCCCATGTTATATGTGACAGATTGGCCTTTTTTCTGTAACAAATTGTCTTAGCCTGTCTAACAATCAGATACTTCTGCTGGGGAAAATTCTATTGAAGCTCCACAATGTATACGAATAACCTCAGAATTGTAACTGGTATTTACAGTAAAAAGCTGTCATTAGACTAGTGAATTGTTTATAATTAAATGTTTCGCCACTGAAATGTTTACAGGTAAATCACAATTCCAACTGCTAACAATGGAGATTGACTCCTCCAAACATCTTCACTAACCTTGACATAGTCGTAGAATTTCTCAAGGTCGTTTTTTAATGATTTGTAATCTGATTGGAACTGGAAGGATGTTTGTGGAGTTTGTAAGCTTCTTGGAGAAACAGATTCACTCCCTCCATCAGAGCCTCTAGGTGACCCAGATGGACTGTCAGCAGTTTTCTGAGATTTACTGGAAGTACCTTTCTCTTTCTTCACTTTTTCTGATAAGTTTAAAGAAAGTTCACTGGTACCGTTGGTTAACTCTTCAATCATAACTTTTTTATTGTCTTTGTCAGAACTGGTGGACTCAGGTTTAGTGAAACTGGACTGTTCATTGATAGAAGACGGGCTACTTGAAGTAAACTTTTCAAACATGACATCATCCCTAGCTGTGATGGTTTTCTTTACATCACTCTGCTCCTCCTTGACTTTGTGAATGGCCGACTGCCTTTCCAAATCCTCCTCTAATCCTACTTCCTCAATGTGGATCCTCCTCATCCGCTTCTGTGGGTGCAAAAGAGAATGTACTTAGTTATGTTTTCTATTGAAGTTGCTTGGATCAATACTATTGACCAATAAGTCTATCAATACCTTTGATTTCCTGATATAACTGTCCTGAACTTCCATCAAATAACACCCTGTAATTCCATCCCATAACACCATATTTGACCCATATGGTGACCAGTTACCCTTCTCCCTTAATTACATGATCTTTGGAAAGTTGAAGTCTTTGGAAAGTTGAAGTCTTCTATGTAAAAAAAATTAAATAGCTGTTAGCTATTTACATGAGCATGAATCTTTGCATCTTTGGTATTTTCGAATCTTAACCTGAACTAAAATGATGAATCATTTGTTATCCATTATTTAAAGGAACTAGTTAAATGTCTGGGAAGTGGCTATTTTTCGTTTAATGTGTCTGACTTTTTTGAGGGGAAACCGATTTGACCAACAAGAAATTACTGTACGGACCTTGGACCGCTCGTGTGGAGGTTTAGAGATGGGCATGACCAGTCCAGCATCAGGACAGGTCACTGGCTGTACCTGACTGACCATCTTCTCCTTCAGTATCTCCTGTAAAACAAGACCAATACAATATATACTGACCACACACCGTGCAGTGACCACAAAACACTGATCACACAATACAATGACCACACACTTTGCATGCACTGACCTGAGTATTGATTCAAAATGTTAAAATATATATAAACTGGTATAAAGAAACAGTGTAACCAGACTCTGTCTTATAATATTGCATCTTTTCATGTTATAATTTTCTGTCTTTTAATTGGGTACATTTGTATATGAATTACTCTAGTATTTCAAAAGTCACATCAAAAGTTGATATTGACACATAACTTTAATAATATATTCTCAACATACCTTTTCTATCTTCTCAATTTCTAACTTGGCTTTTTTATTTTGAGGTTCCAACAGAAGAACCTTTTCAAATGTTTCCTTGGCTTGTGTGTATTTCCTGAGGCCAAACCTTGCTGAGCCCAATCTGAGGTGAGCCTTGGTATATAGGGGGTCCAGGGTTAAGGCAGTCAGACAGTCAGCTTCTGCTGCTGCAAACCTGTCAAATAATTGCAATGTTCTCCAAATCAAACCCTGTTATACACTGTTAGTGTATTTGCCAAAATAAATATCCTGAATAAGCACCCAGGGCACTAAACAATTGTTTAATAGCAGTGGAGTCTTTACAAAGGTGAGAAAATACAAAATACATCAATGGGTAGGCCAAATCTCCTTTATTACTCTTTAACTCATTCACCCCTCAAATGAACTATTCCAACCTTTGAATTGGAAGAGTTCAAATGTGTCTTCAGGGGTGACTGAGTTAAGGTAGACAGGTTACAAGGCCTTTTTTTCATGCAGACAAAATACATTATGTACATGGGATACATTGTTTACTCGCCGTCTTCATACATTTCATGTGAACTTTAGTCTTGACAAGCGCTTGATATTACTCTCTTACTACCGAGGAAACAAATGCAATGCTAACCAATGCTGCAGTTTATGTTGTTGATACACAATTCAAAGTTAGCTAGTTGTTTACTTTCACTTGAAGTCGTAAGTTATTGTGTTTATAAGAATAAATGAACACCTTTCATTGGGAAATATCTTAATGCTGTTTTGGGGAATAATAGACCTGGTGATAAGTATGCAATTTGTAATGATGATGAAATATTGAAAGATTTTCAAAATAATGCACTTCTTGTAATTGTATCACAATGGCAGAGAAACAGATCAAATCACAGAGGTAAGCTACCATAGCTCTCACCTTGTGGGGTGGTGGGGGGGCATATGATATTGCCTTTTTTCAAAATTGTTTCATAGGCAGAAGGACAATGATAACAAGCTAAAGGCTTAAGACATTAATTTTAACTCGTTCACCCCTAAAGTCACATTTGAACCTTACCAAATCAAAGACTGGGCAAGTTCAATTTAGTTATGTAGAGGTAAATGAGTTAAACAGATAATCTGCATGCATAAATATTAGGTGGACACTTATTTTTTTGTCAGGTGTGACAAAAGGGCATTTACTGGAGCACTTATTACAGTGAATACGGTACAATGAGTTTTATATGCATTTCATTACTTTCAAATTAAGGTTAAAGATTTTTCTTCATTTATTAACACGTTTGCCAGTATCGAGAATTTTAAGGTGTCACACCAATTGGCTGAAGTAAAGGTCACCAAAATATTGAACTCTACTGTAGTATTGATTATCCTACACTGAGTGTATTGGATAAAAAACAGAAGGACAGATTTGGTTTCAATCACATTGGTACACCATGAACTTTGTGGATATTTATAGGAACTGTACAAAAGCACATTATCTCTCAAATTATTCCTTATTGTCACTTTTATTTCACTGACGTGCAACATTTGAGAAAAATGTAAAAGCCATTCTCAACCCAGGTGCTGCCCCAAGTAAAATACCATCTATATCTAAGACACTACATTCAGACACAAATAGCTTCAGCACCAGGAGACAATCCTACATCAACAGCTGGGTTTAGAGAGTGGAACAGGGGGACTTACTTATCCTGTTTCAGAAGTGCCATGGCCCTGTTGGCTGGGAGGAGTGGATTGCAGGCGTCCAGGGCCATCCCTCGACTGTAGGCCTCAATCGCGTTAGCATAGTCTTCCTTCTTAAAGAACTCATTACCCTAGAAATGCAATGATGCAGGTAAAAATAAATTCAAAAATTTAAATCATTTGACAAATTATTTTTTCAGTCTTGATTCATACAGCACTAAATCCTTATATTAAGGTAGGTAATCATTATGAAATGAGAGAGGACTACATGTAAAGGTGTATAGTCAAATGAGTACATGTACAGGTGTATAGTCAAATGAGTACATGTACAGGTGTATAGTCAAATGAGTACATGTACAGGTGTAGTCAATTGAGTACATGTACAGGGGTATAGTCAAATGAGTACATGTACAGGTGTATAGTCAAATGAGTACATGTACAGGTGTATAGTCAAATGAGTACATGTACAGGTGTATAGTCAAATGACTACATGTACAGGTGTATAGTCAAATGAGTACATCCCACAGAGTAGACTGGTAGATTGATAATTACCCTGAAGTGCCCAAAAGCGTGGAGAAAAAGACAGTTTCTAATGACCAGAATATCACTGGTTCAGTACATAGAAAATAAAACATGCCTTTTCCCATATCTCACTAAGTATTAGACGCCAATATCAGCCAGAGGGCTGATATTGGTCGAGGGTTGATACTGGGCGCGATATGGAAAATGGCATCTTTATTCTGTTGAATACATACTTACTAATAAAATACAGATATATCTACTATCTTTATATGATCTATTTTTTTTTTGAAATATCGCCACATTGTCAATGGTACCAATGACGGCAGACCGTTCTGGCACAAGGGGTTGATTGTTCTCCTGCTCAATCAGATACTCTAACTCAAGAATCTTATTGGCAAGAGACTCTAATGCTCTCTCCCCAATTTGTTGCTGTTTTCAGAATCAGCCATTGTTGAACTGTTGGTAAAGAAGGATTCCGAATGACATTGTTGTTGGTAGATGGGGAAAATCAGAAGTGTTCCAAAAGGAGTGTGATACTGGTTTTGCAGGCTGATACGGAGAGGGCTGGTAAAGGTTTTGAGGTGTGATAAGGCAAGGGTTGATATGGGTTAGAGCAATTGTGTCATATGGCATATACAAAAAAAACATATTTATAAGTAAGTATGTAATAAATTTAAATAATCAACCAGAATACACAAACCATACCCTATCCTTTTCAAGAAGAGCTTGTTGCTCCTTTCTTTCGACTTCCCACTCTTCATCCGTCTCATACTCGGACGATTCTGCTGATTGTTTCTCATCATCTGCCTCTTCACAAAGTTTATCCTGTGGAACAAGATTATTAATAATTAAACAAAACATGTTTGATTTAAAACATTGCTATGTTTACTTGTACAATTATATTGAGTTTATACTGTGACAGACAATAAGGTTTCAATAAAACAATTTTGATATTCTATTATATATATGCAAGACTTCATTGAGTATCCTGGTATGTGACATAATATCTGTACATATTGTTATAAAACAGTAAAACAAAAGTGTTTCTATATACAACTCTCATCTGTGACCTTCCAAGTTGGTTAATATTAAATATATAAACAAATTTTATAGCAATCAGGCTAACATTAAATGCTTCAAAGAATTTAATACATTTGCTTGCTACGTTAAAAGTTGCTCAAGTTCATTTATTTGAACAAATCTTCAGGAGTTGTGTTATGACTTTTAACACATTCTATCGATATGGCATTGAAGTGTGTCAATTTAATGTATTTGACAAACCTGATAGCCCTTCATTCCAGCATGCTACTGGCTAAATATCATCATCCTTGGCCTCTTGATTATTCTGTATTTGCTTATTGGTTTAATTTTAATACTTATAACCTCTTTGACTTGAAAGTAACTCAAGGTCACTTATTTAAACTAGTCTCGGCATGCTACAGGCCAAATATCATGTCCTTAGACTTCTTGCATCTGGTTATTAAGAAGAAGTTTTTTTAATTAATCTGCTTTATTCTGAATCTAAGACCTTACAAGAGGGTCAAGGTTATTTATTAAAATAAACCTGATAGCCATTTATTTCAGAATGCTACAGGCAAAAAATAATCATCCTTGGCCTCTTGATTATTCAGAAAAAGTTGTTTAAATGAAATAAAACATTTAACTCCAGTGACCTTGAAAGTTTGTCAAGGTCATTTATTTGAACAAAATTGATAGCTCTCATCTAGCATGCTACAGGCAAACAAGAGGCCCATAGGGCCTGTATCGCTCACCTGAATATGTTTAAAATAATTGGTATGAAGACAAGATATAGCACTCCATGGTAGGTGCTGTAAGTACATATGAAATTTCAGAAAGATCCATCCAGTACTTGAGATAAAACAATTTTCAAACAGAGCCCCACCCCTTTGCCCCTAGGGGGGTCATACCCACCGTTTATACAAAATTGAGTCCCCTTGGCCAAAGGATGCTCCAGACTAAATAAGGATAAAATTCCTTAATCATGATGGTCGAAGAAGGATTTTAAAGGTTTTACCTCTATTTCTCCTATTGGACCCCGCCCTTCTGCCCCCTGGGAAACCACACCAACTGCTTATACAAAATTGAATCCCCTTGGCCCAAAGATGCTCAAGACTAAATTAGGATAAAATCCCTTAATCCCTATGGTAGAAGAAGGATTTTAAAGGTTTTACCTCTATTTCTCCGATAGGGCCCAGCCCCTCAGGTCCAAGGGGGGGGGGGCAAACCCACCGTTTATACAAAATTGGTTCCCCTTTACCCAAGGATCCTTCACACCAAATATGGACCAAATCTGTTCATTCCTTCAGAAGAAGAAGGATTTTAAAGAATAATTTGCTATGTTTCCCCTATTTGGCCCCGCCCCTCAGGCCCCTGGAGGGTCAGACACATGGTTTATACAAAATGTGTACCACTTCACCCAAGGTTGCTTCAGACTAAATATGGAATAAATCCTGTCATTCCAACAGAAGAAGAAGGATTTTTAAGAATTTGCTATATTTCCCATATTGGGCCCCGCCCCTCAGCCCCCACGGGGGCCAGACCCATCGTTTAAACAAAATTGGTTTCCCTCAACCCAAGGATGCTCAACACCAAATATGGACCAAATCCTGATATTCCTACAGAAGAAGAAGGATTTTAAAGAATAATTTGCTATGTTCCCCTATTGGGCCCCGCTCCTCTGCCCCCAGGGGGCCACACCCACCATGTATACAAAATTGAGTCCCCTTGGCCAAAGGATGCTCCAGACTAAATTAGGACAAAATCCCTTAATCCCTACGGTAGAAGAAGGATTTTGAAGGTTTTACCTCTATTTCCCCCTATTGGGCCCCGCCCCTCTGCCCCAAGGGGGCCACACCCACCATTTATACAAAATTGAGTCCCCTTGGCCCAAGGATGCTCCAGACTAAATTAGGACAAAATCCCTTAATCCCTACGGTAGAAGAAGGATTTTGAAGGTTTTACCTCTATTTCCTCTATTGGGCCCTGCCCCTCTGCCCCCAGGGGGGTCACACCCACCATTTATACAAAACTGAGTCCCCTTGGCCTAAGGATGCTCCAGACCAAATTTAGTCAAAATCTACTTGGCCGTTCAGGATTTGTAGCGTTTTAAAGGAAAAGTTGACGGATGGACGGATGATGGACGACGGACGCTGCGGTATTGCATAAGCTCACCATGGTCCTTCGGACCAGGTGAGCTTAAAATATGAATATATGCCTTTCGGTTTGAATTAATCAGAAATTAAAAAAAAAATCATCATATTTAACCCTGTGACCTTGAAAGTGAGTCAAGGTTTTTCACCTGAAAACATTTATAACCCCATAATTTCAAAATGCATCCAGCCAAAACACGTTATCATCATAGGGCTTTGGTTATTCAGAAAAGTTGCTTTAAGGTTTAATGCACTTGACCCATGTGAGTTGTGACCTTGAAAGTTGATAACAGATTATCAATTTAAACAAACTTGATAGTTCTTCATCCCTACATGCTACTGGTCAAATATCTTTACACTAGATCTTTTAGATATTCAAAAGAAATCAGACAGATGATGAGTATTTAAACTAGATTTAACTTGATGCATAGGCTTCAATGATAGCCCTGCTCCCTGCATATCAACAAAGCTTGAAACCCATTTATAAACAATGTTATTTTTGGACTTCGTCGAAGCAGGGGTATAAAAATGGATGAACTTGGTACTATTTACATAATCAAGCTTGTCCCATGCCCTGAAGTCATAGCCACTGAGCTTTTTCTTCTCCTTTCTTTTTTTCTCATCCTCTCCGGATCCTGGTGGCTTCCCTTTCTTTTTTCGCTTTTTCTTATCTAAACTATTTCTAACTGGTGGAAGCTTCTGTAAAGAGAAAGCAATTCAAGTATATCTTTTGTGAGTGTATGACAAAAAAGGTTCAGATAAAAAAGAAAAGAAAGTAAAAAACATGATGGGCCTGTTCGTTTATGTGGAACGTTTTTAAATGTAACATTTTCGGGTATAAATCCCGACAGACCTGTCAATGTTTATTCTGACGTTTTATCAACTTTTTTTATCGGTCTGGCGTCAATTAACGTTGTAATCTAAAATGGATTACCAGGTGAGGTCCGACATTAGGCCTATATCATAAACGAACAACTGGTCCAGCTGGTTCAACCGTTTGGATAGCGATAAACCAAAGGAGTTTGGAATTCTGACTGTAAATTGAGACAAAAATCATATCAAAAATAATACCCTTATTTTTTTATGAGTTTTATCTCAATTTACAGTCAGAATTTCAAGCACCTTTGGATAAACGAAAACGGCCTATGTGTCATGCGTGTTGCTGTTTTAATATTTTAATATTTGTCAGCGTTTTTCATCTTTACAAGTAAAAAGGCACCGATACAACGTTTTCTTAGGAACCGAAACTACACTTGGTACCGCAACGTCTAGAATTCTGAAGATGACGAGGGTTACAATTATCATTGAAGTGTAAGCCCAGTGGTGATACAATTAAAACAAAGAAAAATGTGTTGCATTCCACAACTTGATATTGGATAAAAAATTTGATGGGTTTTTAAAATATGAAACCTACAGTTTGCTCTGTAGGTTTTCCTTTTTTCAGGACTTCGTCCTTCTTCTTTACTTCAGTTTCCCATTTGTCCATATCATGGAGAAAGTCGCCCAGGTCTGCCTGACTCTCCCTCATTTGTTTTTGGAGGGTTAACATCTTCTCTTCACTAATTGACGCACACATGTTGCTGTTAAAACGTGTCTATTTGTCGGTAAAAAAATAAATGTTCACATACACACATCTATCTAATGGGCGCAGACATGTTGGTTTTGGAATCCGGAAAGTATTAATGCGCATGTCATTTAACCTTTGACCGAATCCAATGTAAATATTCGTTTCCAGCACAGATAAGATCTACTCAACACATCACAGACCTGCAACTGTCCTGTCGGCGAAACCGTAGGTATTCAAAACGTATTGCATATTTATACACATTATTTTGGACTGGATGTCATTTTAGTGGTTGAAGTATCCTATTCTTTGTGTAGGAGTAGACGTGTATATTACGTAATATCTGGTTTGCACAGGCCTCGTGAAGATCATGAACATGTACAATATGGCAGCTGTACCTGTAGGCCTATCTATATATATAAATTCGAAGATACGTTAAGACGGACGGAGGGGACTTCAGTCATAGTAAATCACGCACGAAAGCACTTATAGCAGACGCTTGCTATACGGTCACTTGCATAGGTGGTCAAATCACGGACAGTATTGGGGGTCTCCTAATGACACGACCGGTAAGGACATGACCAGTGAGTGGTTTTTGGATTCTGGTAAAGTAGGAAGAAATCTTTGTATCTACTTACAGTGTTATTTATTTTATTATATCTTTTAATGCCTAAAATTGGATATTTTTTCTTTCTATTCATTAATTGGTATTCAGAATTGCAATTACCATGAAAATATTTTCAAAAATGTCATTTCCAAATCTCTATTAGGCAACAACTGACAAAAGCACATCCCTGATACGGAACCATAATCGTGGCACCGGTGGGATTGTCGTGTTTTTGTAGTGTTCATTCCAAAATACTGTCTTTAGTACCATGTCGCAATGATCAGGTCTCTGATAAGTTAGCTAGACTAATTGCACACGTCGTTTGAAAATTATCCTGGAAAATTCCGCATGTTACATTTGTAATATGTAACATGTTGTCGTCGACATTGTTATTCCCTTGACAGTAAATGCAGACAACGCTTCATAGAGCATGCGTTAACAATTAATGAGCTTGTCTAGAAACGAACACCGTTAATAGCTAGGCAATATGCGTGGTCTATACTTATGGTTTCCGGAAGGTAACGTAAGCTTGCCTTTGTATTAGACGTCAACCTTCCATGGAAAAGTTGACAAACCTTACTAATCATGAACGACCTTAACGTTCCCGGCGACGTTGGCCTAGCTAATCTTACCTGTGATCGACGTCAACTCTCCCCCGATAAGTTGACAAAGCTTCATATGAACGACGTCAACTTTCCCCGGTCAAGTTGACAAATTGTGTCTGTGAACGCACTGAACGGTACCATCTATGAATGGCGTCAAATCCCTCCGGATAATTTGAAAAGATTTACCTGTGAACGACGTCAACTTTTCCCGGATAAGTTACCTGTGATCAACACCTACTTCCTCCGGGATAAGTTGAAAAACCTTGCTTGTGGACAACGTCAACTTTCCCTTATCAAATCCTAGCTCATAAATTTAAACAATGTCAAATTACCTTGTGCAAGCGTCAAAGTTTACCTAATCGTGTATAAAACAGTTCAAGTTGGCAAAGCTTACATGCATATTTAACAACTGTCGCCAATGTATTTGTGAAATATAATTAATTTTTAAGTTGTTGAGTAATGACTTTTCGATAGTGTTAAATTTCAAGGACGAATACTTGTGTGTCAAATGAACTAAACGATCACTAAGTATACCGTGAAATAAAATGTGTGTAACTCGGAAGTATATTCATTCCTAAAACCGCTAGACCAAGAATGCAACATACATATAAAACTGTTGTGAGGCGGTCCAATATCAATACAGTCTTATACATTTTATACTGTATATGCGTGTTAGCCCAATCAAGTACTGCTCAATTCCGAACATTTTACTAATTAATTTCGTGATTGTTTTCCAGTCCCTTATTAATTTCTTGCGTAAGACTTAAATGGGTAGTACACACGTGACGTCTGCACGTATCACTCTATAGCGTCATGTACTAAAACTACAATACCTGCTGTAATTGTTTTTCAGAACGACCCTTTCCCGCTGGTTATTTGCTAAACCTAAACACTCGCTAACTGGGTTGTCTCGAGCTAGAACATGTAATTCATGTCGCGTATCGAATTGTAACTTAATCGTCCTTCAGATTTCAAGGGTAAAGCGTTAGAACGTGTTTTGTTGGAGATTATCATACATCATACATGCACAATGACTCACCACGGAGAACCTGTGTTGATTACATGTCATCTGATATCAATGTCTGATTGAAGGGGATATGCATTTCATACAATGCCATTGATGCGAAATCACGCTCTAAATATAATTTATACGGACATATTTAGATTAAGATACTTAAAATTCACTTATAAAATATATGTATTCTTGTGTGTTAACCCGCCCCGCCGTCCCACCCCACTAACACACATGCATGTACACTTGAAAGATATTTTGAAATGCATGCTATGATGGAAATAACATCTGTTATTACCACATTATGAACCCCATCAAACACGTACGGTATATATACACATGTACAGGAAGATATAAGAAAGTGCATTGCAAAGTGAATTCCCATTTGAAGTGAGAGTTTTTGGAAGAAGAAAACAAACTCAATCTAATTTCTTTTTCTTATTTCTTCATATTGAAAAGTATCCCGCCAGTATCTGCCAAAATTGATCGTTTGGTATACGTACATTGTCTAAACCTAACCCAGCGCCTCGTTCACACAGACTGGATGTTGCCGTGGATGTCGGCTCTGTCGTACTGCCAACATTGATTCTGGCCTGGATGACTTGCAAGCCTTCCTTCATATAGTCAAACGAGATTGCGATACTGATATGTCAGCATGTTCCCCCTAATACATGTATCACTCGACCTGAAGTGGTTTTCATCGTTCCCATGGTCAACTATATATCACTGCCCTCCCGCGTTCTTTTACATCACTATTCTCATGGGCCCGTATTCTTAAAACGGTTCTCATACCGACTTTCTTATCGCTTGCGTGATGCATGTCGCACGTTCAAAAAGTCAAGTCTATAGTCATTGAAAACGGTATTCAGCTTTAAGGATCTCCACAATTCTTACAAATGATTTATTATCACCGGAACAATATATTGGACAAGAGGACAGTCTGCAGGTAGGGCGTAAGAATTTTACCTGCTGCCCCCATTGCATGATCGTAAGAGGCGACTAAATTTGGGATCTTATATTTTCTCTTCTTTCTAAACAAGTTCAGCGGTCGCCCCTGTGGGGAAGTCTTTGGGTTCTGTCCCCTGGCCGAGACATATACCCGAGTCTGTTAAAATGGTATGTTCTACTCCTGCTTAACGGTCAGCAATTTAGGAGTGGGACGACTGGTTCGTCCGTTGTCAGGATAATGTGACCGGATGAGGTGTCCTGCTGGGTATCTTAGGCAGTATGTTTCAAGGAGGTAGCACTATAAAGTCGGCATCAGTTCCACGCTATCACAAGGAGACAAACACGAAGACAAACACGAACATATCGCGGCCTCCCAAAAACACACGCATACACTACACGCATGCATCTTGCACACAGGCCGTCATTAAATGGCCATGGCTGTTGATAGGAAGTTACACAATACTAAACCAAACCCAACCAGTTTCATCGACGATCTGATGGTCTCCTTGTCAATTCTATCCCCTGTCTCCTGGTCAGTTACATCAACGTTCTCCTTTTCATTTCCATCACCGCTTTCTCGTCAATTCTCCCACCGTTCTCCTGGTCAGTTCCATCACTGCTTTATTGTCAATTCCACCACCGTTCTCCTGGTCAATTCCATGACCGTTCTCCTGGTCAGTTCCATCACTGCTTTATTGTCAATTCCATGACCGAACTTCTTGTCAATGCCACCTCGATCTGCTTGTCAATGCCACCCCCGATCTCCTGGTCAATGCCACCCCCGATCTCCTGGTCAATGCCATCCCCGATCTCCTGGTCAATGCCACAACCGATCTCCTGGTCAATGCCACCCCCGTTCTCCTGGTCAATGTCACGCCCGTTCTCCTTGTCAATGACACCCCCTATCTCCTTGTCAACGCCACACCCGATCTCCTTGTCAATGCCACCCCGATCTCCTTGTCAATGCCACCCCGATCTCCTTGTCAATGCCACCCCGATCTCCTTGTCAATGCCACCCCGATCTCCTTGTCAATGCCACCCCGATCTCCTTGTCAATGCCACCCCGATCTCCTTGTCAATGCCACCCCGATCTCCTTGTCAATGCCACCCCGATCTCCTTGTCAATGCCACCCCGATCTCCTTGTCAATGCCACCCCGATCTCCTTGTCAATGCCACCCCGATCTCCTTGTCAATGCCACCCCGATCTCCTTGTCAATGCCATCCCCGATCTCCTTGTCAATGCCACCCCCGATCTCCTTGTCAATGCCACCCCGATCTCCTTGTCAATGCCATCCCCGATTTCTGGTCAGTTATATACCGTTCTCCTTGTCGATTACATGGCCATTTACAACTTTGTTGGATTCGACGATATCCTGACGATTTCATTTTCTATGTTTTTTCACAAAACTTCGTTATCAAATTTGCACGTTACAGACTGCAAATTCAAGACAAAGGAAAATTCACCGAAGTTTTATTAGTCCCCTACNGGGGGCAAGTACGAGTTTCAGGGTTGTCGGGTCAAGCGGAAATGTATTGCTTTAGCAATACTCAGTATGCTTGTTAATAGAAAGCAATGTGTATGTTAATTATACGAGTTATTGAATTAACAATAGACAACTGCTGTTAATCGTGGACTACATCCGCTGTTAATTGATGTATTAATTGGGTGTCAATCTAAATAGAATAAAATCTTCCGGTCGCTCCTATTTGATGTGTCGCGTGAACTATGTATTGATAGGTTCAGCGGCGACATCTACATAACGGCAGCGACGAAAAGATTGAATATTAATGAAATTTATAAGATGTCTGCTTAAAGATATGCATTTAATTATTCTTTGTTTATTCTACCACAAATATGAAAAAACACATAAGCTGATATTATTAAGTTTTGTTGACCCGGATGGAAGCGCGTTGAAACCGGAGTTCCCGAAGAATACCTACGTTGCTGGTCAAAAAGGACCGTATATTTCATAAATTTCTTGATTACCAAATTGTATATTACATGTAGTAGGCAATATTCCATCTTCACTAGCCAAGAGTTACGATCCGGTACGATCTACCTATACTCTTCACTGGAGAGAACTACCGGATCGTACCGGATCGTAACTGCTTGTTGGTCATATTGTTATTAATGTTATCGTTATTCTCCTTCCAGAAGATGACCACCACCCAGAACCGTCAGAAGGCGGTGCCCGCATGGATCCGTTTCTACTTCTACGGGATGCACGGCCTTCTAGACGAGATAGTGTTTACGGCACTTTTCGACATGGTGTTCGAACCAAGCGGGAACAGGTCACTAAAGGGCCAATCCAGTATTTTCTCTTTCTTCATATACGGAAGCTGTTCTTTCCTTGTTGAACAACTTTACGTTTTCCTCTACTTGAAGCATGGCGTGCCCAGGTACATCCGGTTATTTCTGTACCTGTGTATACTGTACACCTGGGAGTTCGGCACCGGTCTTCTGCTCCGCCAGTTCGGGGCGTGTTCCTGGGACTACAGTCACTACAAGTATAACGTGATGGGCCTTATCACCCTGGAGTATGCTCCAGGCTGGCTCATCCTGTGCTTCTTGCAAGATGTGTTCGCCGACTTTTTGCTGAGCCTATCCATCAACATCAATGCGGCCGACACCAGTAAAGGAAAGAAGAGCAGTTGATAGCCGCTGGCTTGCACGTAACCCTAATCTATCTAAATACCGTCTCCACTAAGTTTGCTGTCGTTTATGTGGTCGGAACGGTTGGTTGAGCAGGGGACCTGTTGTGATTAATGTATGCACAGGCACTTGCGCTAAGGTATTGGAAAACAATTACAAGGCGAAAAATGGAATGAAATGAATGAAAATTAAAACGAAATGCTTGTGTTTCGGTCAGGTTTTGACTGTTTTTCATTTGTTTTATACCATTTATATGTATGTTTTCTCTTTCATTGAATTAAGCACAAGTCACCGTGATTGTATCGGGGTTCAACTGTTCCAGCCACATAAACGAAAGCAAGACTTGTGCGTTTATAATATTTTGGTAAAATGTGTGTGGAAGGTTTGGTTGTGCAGTAGACGTAGCAGTTGTGTAAAATATACGCAATAACTGTGATAAAAATATTTATGTGACAAACAAGGTTTCGCATGTATCCTATAAAATTGAATGTTCTAGCACGTGTAAAATATGCAAAATCATCATGTACGCAATTGTTTGTAAAATGTACGATACATATCAACTTATATTGAATGATCTGATAACAGTGAATGTTATACAGCTACCTTTGTGTTTGAGTATAGTGAGTACTTATATATGTTTGAGTAGTGAGTACTTATATATGGTGCAAAAACATGCAATTATCGACAATCCGCAGTGTATCCCATATTTGTTAATTTTATTTTGAATAATGTATCCCACATGTTTTTCTGTAGCCTATATTTTGAACAACGACATTTTTTTATTATATACACATTATAAATTGAACTGGCATTTCAAAAGAGATTTATGAAACGAGTTAAGAATTTCTTATTTTAATTGGGTGACCAATAGGGGTTTTATAAGAATACATTACTCTGTAAATGAAAACTAAAGCTAAGATATACACCGTGGTAAATTGTCTTTACTTTTCAAGTTTTCCGTGATGCAGGATACATGTCAACTCATGTTGGTGGTATGGGTTGTTCTGTATCGCAATATTTGTGAAAAGGGTGTCGCCTAGCTCAAACACAGGGACCTGATAATTTGTTACAGCTATATTTGGACCTAAACTAAGTTGCTCAGATTAATTTTACAGTCTTTAGGGGTTTAGATCAACTTTCGCTAAAAGTACCATCCCCAATCATGATATAGATCAACTTTCTTGTTAGATCAACTTTCCGAAAGTTGATCTAAACCCCTAACACCTGTAAAGTTAAGGTTTAGGTCCAAATATAGCTTTAACAAATTAGCAGGTCCCTGTGAACTCAAACAAAATGTTAACTTGTAAGGAAGGACAACCCTGGGGACAGATTGGCAATGGTCAGCGCGAGTTCAACATTTTTTCAGAAGGTCCTCAATTACTAGAAATCGTCTATGGTCATGTCAATGAGCTATCGGATCCACACCTAACACCATACAAGGCATTCCGTGATGTGGTTATAATTAGAACTAACTTAATAGAAATGAAATCTTTGTTTCAGTTTACAATAGTATCTTTATTGAATTATAGTCTGTGATATTTTTTTCTGGCTTAAAAATCGACGCATTTTTATTACATTTTTCATTATTGTTTTGTATTCTGACGGAGATTCAGTTACTGCGTTCCATCAGTTATATTTGAAATACGAGATTATCACACACATAGAACAATCTCTTGACATGTGACAACTTGTTCAGTACACAGTCCTATCTCAGTCAACATTTCATCTGATATTTCATATTCGTTGCTATTCGGTGTTGTATGTTTTCTTCTTCTCTGCGATATCACGCTGCCTTTTGTTGTTAACACAAATAGTGCTTTATTAGATTTTTGTTGAGGACGTGCTAATTTTGTTTTCTTATTTCGTTGTTACCACACAAGTGCGCTATTAAATCTGTTTTGATGACGTGCTAGTTTTGTTTTATTTGAACAACAATTTGTTGCAAGTTCAAGCTCTTTTTTCCTACGATATCTTTGTAATCTGATTTTTCTTAATCCGAGAAAAGAAACTTCTATCACAAAATTAGCCGGTGATTTATCTTCTAATTAAATGCCGTGGAATCCCATGTTCATTTGTTTATCTTACAGTTTTAATTTTTAATAAAGTGAATTTTAGTTTCGTTCGGTCCTAACGAAATTGCAAAGTGGCACCTGGTACTAGTTCTATAGTACTAGACGGTTTGAGCACAGGGACCTGACAATTTGTTACAGCTTTATATTTCGACCTAGACTAGGGTGTTCTGTGTTGTTTTTCACGTTTTCGAGGGTTAGAACAACTTTCGGTAAAAATGCAACCCCCAATGATGATGTATTTCAGTATAAATGCCAACCCCAAATGATGATACATATGATATATTTAAGGAATGACCAAGATTTGTTTTGGTATATACGGTATATACCGAAAAAAAAATGTGCACTTTGCATAAAAAGGTGTACAATCTTTTTTCGGTATATACGTATATACCAAAACAACATCTTGGGCATTCTTTATAATTTAATTTTAAAAAAGTAGACAAACACGTTGTAAATACACAGTTAAAGATTTATTTAATTTTTACGTAAACTAAACAATTGCGCTAAAAAAAGCTGCATTGTAATTTTGCATTCTGAAGTGTAAAAAGTAGTTCCGTCATCAGTTGTTTTTCTTTTTAGGTATATACGATTTATACCAAAAACAATATTATGGGGGAAATAGGCAAAATTAAATTATTGGATCATCACACTAACTACACAGTTGTCCATTATGAGGTTAAGACATTTATAACAATGTAAGCAATGTACTGAACCATAGTTTCATATTTCATGGGCTAAAAACAGCTGAATTGGGTTTGGTTAAAGTTTTTTTTGTAGTGTTGGATCACAACCATCAATAGGCTATTGTCTATTATAAGGTTGAAGTATTTATATGTATGGAGTATAAGCAATGTGCGGAACCATATTTCATATTTTAGGGGCTAAAACAGCTGAATTGGGCTTGGTTAAATGATTTTGGCAAGTTTTTAGCTCACCTGGCCCGATTTTGCGGCGTCCGTCGTCCGTCTGTCGTCCATCGTCCGTCGACCATCAACTTTTTCTTTAAAACGACTTCTTCTGAAGAACTGGAGGACCTAGGGTCATGATATTTGGCCAGTAGGTACTTGGGATGGAGTGCTAAAAAGTTTGCTCATTAAAATGACCTTGACCTACTTTCAAGATCACAGGGGTCAAATTTATTCAAAAACTGAAACAACAATATCCTAAGAACAATTTGGACTAGAGTCATGATACATGGGTATGTTATGTAGCCTAGCAGTGCGAATCTTTTTCTTAATTACAGTAACGAGGTCAAATGTCAACTGTAAGTGCTAGCTGGAGTCAAAAGTCAATGTGGGTTAAAAGCTTTAAAATTACAAATTTCAAACAACAATATCTTCAGCGTTTAAGAGATGTTAAAATGTCTAGTGTTCTAGTTACAAAATTTGGTCTGAAGTTATCTATATGTCAGTTTCGTGTAACAAAAGAAACAGGTGAGCGATACAGGCCCCCTGGGCCTCTAGTTTTGTGTAGTGTTGGGTCAACACCACCAATAATAGGCTGTTGGAATGTAAGCAATCTTCTGAATTATATTTTCATTATTTTAAAGGGCCAAAACTAGTTAGTTGGACTTGGTTAAAGTTTTTGGGCAAGTTATTCGTGCATTGCTGAATTGGTCAACACCATCAATATACTGTGGACTATTTCACGTTGGCTGGTCATCTCTTCTTACATGTTAAGGTACAGCAAAACCTTGTTATATTTCCATCATTTGTTCCAAAAAATGTTGGCATCATAAAGGGGATTGGCGATAAATTGAGGAAAACGTAAAGGAATCATTAAGAAAAACATCATTAAGGGACCGTTGGCGGTAAGTGAGGTGGCAAATGAAATGACGGACATTATATCGAGGTTTTACTGTACATTTGTTTCTATTGATGATTGCTATCGTACAGCATATATCACTAATTTCAGCAATGCTGTTCTCCAATATCGTTTGTTACCGAAAGTTGTCCTCTGAACACCTTCAGTTTAGGTCCAAATATAGCTTAAACAAATCCTCAGGTTATTCGTCAATGTGGTTTAACGTTCACGATGAATATGGCGTGTCTAACCAAAACAACGATGGTTTGGAACCGAAGAAACCCTGACAACATATCGAGGAACGAAGATATGATGGAGAGGTAGTAATGATAATAAAATGTTAAAATTATCTGGCGAAGCACATGGAAGTTGTGATATTTCTAGCTGGGACATCGTACAGCAGAGATGCCTTGCTAGCCCTTGCTCTGAGTGAATTCGTTTAGGAAAGGGTCCAGTACAGGGCCTTGGTAGGGGACAAGGGAATGCAACAAGCATTTATTTATTTGTTGGATTCGCCTGCATACCGGCGTATTTACCGCTTTAAGTTCAACAAAATCGCTTTATACACAATTATGTTTGAGCGACTAAAACAGAACGGATTTATTTTTCTAATGCGGATATTGAAAGGTTGGATAAACAGACCTACGAAAAGACCAATTCACTACGAAATGTGTTCTATTCGAATTAACATCAAAATGTACCTCTTTTTGACAATTTAGTGCACACTGACCTGATATTTTGTAACAGATATATTGGGTCCTAAACTGAGGTGTTCAAAGTAATATTACACGTTTTACGGGTGTAGATAAGCTTTTCCTCAACACCGATCATCTTTGAGGGTGGCGTTTTTACCGAAAGTTAATCTAAACCCATTAACCGTGTAGTATGTTCGATACTCTGAACACCTCATTTTAAATCCAAATATAAGTAATAAATTCGCAGGTCCCTGTGATTTAGAATTTAGAATTATAATTATACAATGATTTCTCGTGATGTTCGTTCACAAGGACGATATTATTTTATCACTTATCGCGACTTGTAAGAATGCTACAGATAGCTTATCAAAGTTGTTACACATAGCTTATCAATGTGACCGCATCATCAATAAATGCTAATAAATTTGATCGGTTCTTAAATGTGATGTATATGAACTTGAAAATGAACAAAACAGGAAATCCTTCACTATTGATATTAACGACCAGTTGTTTGACAGGAGAATAACAATATAAACTTCATTTATTTTACTTATTAGGAAACAAGTTATTTCAACTTATATTAATCACTCTTGTTGGCCCGGATGTTGGCGTGCGGGGTATCTTAGTTTGGGAGGAAACCAAAGAACCCGGAGAAAATCATCGTGGTCGAGCTGGTGACCCTAACCTTTTTACGTCCGATCGGTGAATCGAACCCTGGCCACCTTGGTGAAAGGCAAGTGCGCCATCCACTGCACCACCCGACCACCCAGAAGCCTGTTAATGACTTTAAATCATTTGACAAATATGCCCACAAAAGCGGTTAAAGGAAATTCATCGGCACAGACCTGTTGTCTTATTTTACCCTGCATGAATCTTCGCCAGATCAAAGTAACGATCCGGTAAGAGTAGGTAGATTGTACCGAATCCCTTGGTACAGGCAAAGTTTAGCTCCACTTGACCCTTATGACTGTGAAGTTGAATCAAGGTTATTCATTTTAACAAGTTGATAGGCACTCCTCTGGATGCTACATGCTAACTCTCCTTACCCAGTGCCCATTTTGACCCTGTGACCTTGAAAGTCGATCAACTTAATAATTTCAAGATAAACTTATGGATTATGTGGAAGACTACGCCAGACAATGGGCAAAACGAGGGAATGCTGAATTGAATTCGCTTTCAGAGAAGGTTAAATACATTAGGTCAATCATTCAAAATAAAAATCGATGCTTGAAATGGAAATAAAACAAAACAGAAGTCTAAATATCTTGACTCCGATGTGCAAACCACACTCGACCAGCAGCAGACAAATCGTTTAATAATGAAATCTTTGTCAGCAAATACTACAACGTCACCCTACCACAATTGGTACACTACCCAAATTGGTACACGGTCAGAAAATTGTTCGAATAGTACTTTAAAAACAAATTTGAGCATTTTCCTTTGACTGTATAACAAAAGAGATATTTATCAGCATTTCTGCTCAAAAGTTTGGTTTCAGGATCGTTTTAAGAGTATACGAAATTTTGGAGGATTTTGAAGGAGTTAGATATACGCATGTTTAATGATTTCTGGTCCTTATAACAGGATAATATAAAAGTGAATATATATAGTTATAGTTCAGTATGGTATTAAAAGCAATATATTTTGTTGTAATTGGCACATCAACTTGAAGAAATAAAAACAAATTCCATAGCATGTGATATGGTGTACCAATTTGGGTACTAATTATGGGCGAAAAACGGATGAAATCTCACTGCGAGTTTAGCGTTCTATTTTCAAAAACAAATTACTTAGATATAAAACGTTTCCTGAAAATGAACCACCATAGGTAGTCTTTGTCCAGAATCAAGAAACATTCCAGATACAAGATTTGAATTTGTAAAGATCACTAAAAAAACTGTCAAAATTGTACCAATTGTGGTAGCGTGACGTTAACATTACAACTTTGCAGAATAAAACCCTACCTAAACATTTTCCAATTTTTCGAAAGACGAAATACTAGCAAATCACGCTTCTGTGTAACAATCTTTCCGAACACCCACTAATGAACACCGCTACAACTTTACAATACCATTCCTCATACCAAACTTCAGGGAAGCCAACGTTCTCTTGTTATGAGATCTTGCTTTTCAAAGGCGTACGGCGATAAATATATGTTTGTAAATTATTTTGGAGCATATTTTGTGGGAAACTCAACAAAACCCAAAAAGAAATGATTGAGTTCCTGGTGGACCATATATGTGTTGAGTTCGGCTGCAAGAATTTCCAGCAGACTGTAGTCACTCCTATGGGAACAAACTGTGCCCCTCTTCTGACCGAATTGTTATGAGCTCATCAAGACTGGTAACAAAAACCAAGCCCAATCCTTACATTTCTCAGTCAGATGGATCGAGGAAGTGCTTTCTTTGAATAGCAAGAAGCCCCACCTTAGCTTGAAATCAAGGACACTACATGCCCTTAAACTTCAGCTGCTTTTCTCGATCTTAAATTACAACAGTGCAATCAGGAACGGCTTACTACTAAGCAGGACGATTTCGACTCTCTATTGTGGTAATTTCCTTATCTTGATAGCAACATCCCCGCTCCCCTAAACATCGTGTTTACATTTCGCAGTTGATTCGGTGATCAAGAGCTTGCTCGAATATAAAGACTTCTGTGATAGATGTCGACTTCTTACTTCAAACTTACAACACAGGTTTTCCAAAGATTGTTTTTATTTGTGTGGGGTATGAAGGTTGATTTTTTATGATGCTCATAAGAGTGCCTTGTGATTTTGTTGTCACTACCCAAATTCTCAATGTGAGGACGTGACTTTACATGGCAGGTGTCATCGATGGAGCAGAAGACGCCTCTCTTCTGGAACACCTGGTCTTTGTCTCCTCGTAATTTATTCACGGGTCTTCATGTAAATCTATCCTTTGTTCATATCTTGCCCTAGCTTTATCGATTTTGTGTTAGAATTATGGGTCTGTTGACACTTTGGTATTCTCTTGTATTTTGCTATTTCAAAAAACTTAGCTCAGCATGCTTCAGGGTGGGGTGGGGTGGGGTAAAGAAAAGAACAAGGCCAAAATCTGTAAGACATGTCAGTTTTTTAATTTCAATTTGTAGTAACATACATTATTGGAATGGGTATCAGATCTTCACCAAACATCAGTTTTCTCTCACATTTTACAGTTTTTTTTCTTAAAATTCAGAACTTTCAAACTCATATATTAACTGCAAATATTAGCAACACATATATAAACATAGAAAAAAATCCCAAACAAAATTAATAAATTTAACAAAAGAAATACACTGAAATTGATCTTGTCAACAATTATCAAACAGACATAGGAAAAAATATTTTTTTTCTTGTAATTTTTCAAATTTAACTGTCAGTTAAATCAACTTGGAATACACAGCACTTTATCTCTGAAGTTTGATAAAACAGATTTTTTTTTTGATATTTCATTGTCCTCATTGAGTTTATCAGCTCACATCTTCTATTTAGTCTGCATAGATTTAAAATCCAAAATCACAGGGGCCCTTTACACATAGTATCTTGAATCACAGGGGCCCAATATTTTACTGTTACACATGCCCTTTATACTTTAGTTTATCAGTAAGGGGCATGCTGCTTCAAAATATAGATCTATGCATATTAAGCTTGACAGTTCTACTGTGCATGCAGAGGTCTGACAGTTTACACAAGCGCTGAAGGCTGTTAGGCTAAACAAAAGCAAATGTGAGCTGCTCTGCTACATAAGCGCACAGGGGCCTGACACTTCACTAATTCAAGTGTGTACCTAAAGAATGTCTAACCAAGACCGACTGGTTCATTATTGTAGCCACTGTACTTAACCTCTATGTTGGTTTATTGTAGCCACTGTACTTAACCTCTATCTTGGTTTATTCCTTAATCTGTTAAATGTATGTAAACCCAAAATGCATGATGACATCCTGTTTATGATGGCGTACACCTGTGATCAAATTCAACGTGGATGTCACTATAAATATTACTTGGTCAAATAGAAATTAAAACTTAAAACTTAAATATACATGTATTACAGTGTTTTTCCCATTGCAAATTACCACGAGATGATGCCATCAAGAACAATTATAAACAAATCTTGAAGAACTTTGAACAGTATCTGTAGAAATATTTCGAGGTTTTGTTACGTATGTACATGAGGTATGTTTCTGGATCCTGTCCATGCCACAGGGAGTTATACACTACTAATAGACATGTTTTAGTTGATCTACAATGACTATAACCAGGTTAATATTAATTTACATATTATTTCCTAGTACTTTGAATTCATTTATCCAGCTGTTGAGCTGACCAGCTAGTGATCAAATATGTTTTCTTTACTTTTGTGAATTTTGTTAGACACCTACCAGACATAATTGTCAACGCATGTTGATATTGTGTCTTATAATTGTCACTAAAATGTTAAACTAGAAAAATAAAGAACATACATGTATACATAGGAAAAAATATAAATAAAACAAATTAACAAACAAACAATTTATCATAACAAACTGTGTTCAAATAATCACCAATGATAACTGATATTAAATATATAGTAAGAAGCATATTTTGGTCTATAAAAAGATAATGTACGGTTAAATAATTTCATGAGGTCAGTTTTTTCGTCTTATTCTTGGAAGAAATTTATGGTGTTTAAATTTTACGTAATAATTTTACTAGTTGGTACAACTGAACCAAATTGCTATTAAAGGGCTAATTTGTGAGGTTCATATTTTACAAACTTCTCGATGCTTGGAATATAGAGAATGTATAACTACTGTGAAAATTAAGTACTGTACAATATGGATGTCACAACAGATTGTTTAATCATGTTCAATTCTATGTTTAATCAATTCAATGATACAAAAAATAAAACTTCAATCAGAAGTAAATAACAGGACATTAATATCTATAATACCAGTGCCAGTTCATTATAATACAAATCATTTTTACCATAAAATCACACATTCTTTATCTGAAGTTGAAGTAAATGAGTGAACCTGTTTGTATCAATCAAACCCATCAAGAGGGACCGTTCAAGAGAGACGGGCAATAAAGCCTTTATAGACATGTTCAAAATCACAAGCTAATATCAAAAATAATGTCTACCTGCAATTTCTTATGTTCTAAGGGAGGTAAATCTATTTTTTTGCAATTTTGAAGGCTCAATATTTGAACGAGAACCACCAGTCGCTGGTGATGATAGCCATGATGTTAGGCATGCTTGCCAACTCTCCCAATTTTGGAGCCTTAAATTAAGTACTGGATAGCGGCTAATTTTCATTGCAGTTTAACTTTCGCCTATTTTGCTGTACGCAATGAGTGCAAATTGTTTATGACAGCGGATATTAGTATACATATCCTATATAGTAATTACATGTGAAGGTGAAAGTAAGACTGCACGAAAGTTATTTTGCCAGTGAAGGACCGATATTTGTCAGCGAAACTTTCCTGGTACATGTATACAGTATTTCCAACCTATGAACTTGCTAAAGTATACCTATATTATAAGATTTAATGATTTCATCTAAAAGAACTGCTCAAAAAATGTCAATTTAAAGGATTATTTTGTCTCTAGGGAGTATATACAGATTGTATTTATGATTTTAATTTTGAGCATGCACAATCTCCCACATGGAAATTTCAAAAAGTTGGCAAGTAAGGTAATGTGGTCAACAATGGCCCGGTGGCTAACCCTTTCATCACTGTAGACCATAATGGACTCACCCAGATCAACGCATAGTAGAGTCTACTAAAGTTACATAGGGGTGAAAGGGTTAATATGTAAAGGTAGTGACTAAGACAGGTTTGACTGGAGTCTAGAATAGTGAAAAGGGTCTGGTAATGAGGAAATACACAGAAGATTTTTTTTCCCAGTCAAATGGACCAAGCTTAAGCTTCATGCCAGTAAAGGCAGACATATTATGTTTTCATTTTTGATACATAAAATAAGCAAAAAAAGTTACAGTACAAACTTAACATTTTTTTTCTTCGTCTGTTTGAGGGAATACACTCTCAGTAGAGAGTTGGTAACATCCCTGTGTACATGTGCTAAGCCGAATATAGAATATCTATATATACATTTTGTGTTTTTGTTGTTGTTGTCATTATCATTATCACTAAAAGTTAATATGTACACAATTGAAAGATGGTTTCATCGATGTTGTAATTACGGAGGTTGAAAATGAGCAGTGAGATTGTTTTAAAAGGAAAGGAGAGACTCAGAGTCATCTATATGTAAAGGCAAGTACAATCTACACTAATGCATGCACTTGTGGAAATGTGGATCCACTACTAGCACTGGTATAACAGTGTATTCTAGAACATTAATGTGGTGCTCAGTTATTGTCTGTAGACTACAGGAATATTGGGGCATGAAAGACATATAATTGACCATGTCTGGTCATAAAAAAACAATCACCTCTACCTTGTATGTTCTGTAAAGTGCTTAAAATTTACAGTGTCAATCACTCATACATTTATCTAAAAGGAACACTTGTAAGGCTTCCTGTTAGCTGTGTCTCTAACTCAAAATAACACTATTTAGTACAATATTAGTACAATATTCTAGTTTCACCTTTCACCATATTTTCTGGCTTTAAAAGTTCATTAAGGATGCCTGTCCCACTGCATTGTGGGTTACCTATATACAGTAACCTCCCCTTATAACTTCCGTTTAGATATAACTGTAGCACAGATGGGCAAGGACACTTCTGTTGACCACGTAGCTCAGTCGATTAGAGCCGTAGTATATAAATCTGAAATCCAGGGTCCAGGGTTCCAGGTCGAGCCCAGCTATTTATATTCACATTCAGAATGCGGTTGTTTATTATATTTTGCTTACTTAATCTTCATCATTTCTCATAAAAGTTATATTCATCCCAGAAAAAAACTATTTCCAACACTTCGTTACAGATTTTGTAGTGGTACAAGGGTCCTTAACACAAGAACTGAGCGATGGCTTTACACATGCAAATTTTAAGCAGTATACAGTACAAAAATTCTGTTTATAACATAATTACACAACATACCGCATAAGTCAACATTAATTATCTTAACTCTTTTCCCTCAAAACAGTTGTAACACATGGTACCTGCCAAGTGTACATAAACATAAACAATTATTAGTGCAATGCAGCGGACACACTGGGGCATTTATAAATCAAAAACACCCAAAATCATTTTCTCACATTCAAAATCAACAATTTACTCCATCCATTCATTATGTGAATCTGATTAAAGCCAGATCTAAATTTACAATGATACTGAAAAGTATTGTAGTAAATTAAGATCCTGTTTTAATCAGAATAATAATTCGTTATGTACAAGATTCAATTTTGGCAACTTCTGTTTCCATAAACGTGTACTTCCTTCATAACCAATTCAAACTAGGTATGTTACGACTGGGTCTATATTTACATTGTCAGTAGAAATAAATTCTTGTATATCAATTTTGTCAATATATCACGTTCATTTGAATAATTTTCGTTATATCACAGAAATTTATTTTTGATGTGCATCATCAACAAATTCAATCATTTTCACATACTGTTATGATGGAAATCAGCTGTCCTCAAAGTTAGATAACCATTCACACAAAGTCAATGATATGTTAAAATTTCTCTTCAATAATCTCTGATCATTTCTCAAAATCAAATGTCCAATCAGAGCACTTCTTACATTTTTGTACCAGCAATCAGCACATCAGTCTGGTATATCAATACCACTGTAAATGACACAGGGGCATGTAACCCATACACAGCGCCTTATGACCTGTTAGTCTGTACAATGCTGTTTTAAGTCACAGGTATGTGTAGTATGGTAGCCACCCACTATATGTACATATATGTAAAGGTGAGGTACACACACTAACATGTCCTACGTTTGTAGGCGACTCATGGCTACTTGTATAATATTCTCTAGTCTACAAATAGATACAATATAAATATATATGCATATGTATACAGTTCCTGTGCTTCATATAAACACCTTTCTATTGGTCTCTCAAACGGAAACCTGGGACTGATCACAATGTAACAACAGTATATTACCTTAGTCATTAAACACTCTTCTGTACACAGTTTATAAAAACGTTCATGTCCAAACCGTCTTTCAGTATTTCTGTTTTTCAATTTATCACATCCACATTTCCCCCACTTTTATACGAGAGCACTGTACGACAGTTGAATCGGGATATCATATTTTCGAAACTGTTTCTTTTGTAAAACCAACATGGCTTTAGAATGGAAGGGAATTAATTGTTGAAGTGCTCGGGTTAAACTCCTGTTGTTAGCCTGAGTATAAAGGATAACCCAGAGTCTATAAAACTGTTAGCCTGAGTATAAAGGATAACCCAGAGTCTATAAAACTGTAAGTACACACCTTTGGTCCCCGGAGCCTCCTTTATGTACAGGTGTCGGTAATGCCATTTTAACAATAACCGGAAGTTTCATTTTCCATTGCTAAATAATAAGTACATATAAATATTGAAATGTTCTAATTATCAGACTGTCTTTCAGTGTTTCAGACATGACAAACATCTAAGGAGGTGTCGCATACAAATGGGAGCAAACCTGACAAGTCATTATAAACTCTACAAACTTTTCGTGCAAAACACACTTCAGTGAACAATCCTATCTTCTGATATACTGACAGGTCCAACAGGTCCTCGCTTACCATCCAAACGGCCATCCACTTAGCTGACTGATCTCAACAATGAACAGATCACAGTAACTTCCTCCAAACTGACGGATGCAAATGTTTGACCGATTCAGATGCTCCAAACCAACCAGTCATAATGTTTGACCAGTCAATGTGCTCCATTGTGCTCTAAACTGACTGGTCCGAGTAGTTCACCGGTCATGTTGCTCCAAAAGAAAACCAACTATCAATAATTGGTACGCAGTCCAGTGGTCAGTATAATAGAGCATGAATCAGATCATTGAGTGCAGCCATAGAGATCGGACAGGTCATTGGAGAGTAAGGTCATCACTGTAACTCCGTAGCCAGGCAGTCACCAAGGGTCAGTCTGTAAGTGGCAATTTTGGATATTCCGTGGAAATGTACAAATGCTGCTGCCAGGACAAATACATGGAAAATCTGGTGGCTCTGAAACTGTGTGAAAAAGGACAAAATGTATCAGTATTATTTTCACAAATTAACATGCTTACTATATATGTATTATTATGATACTCTATGACAAACAATAACAAGAGGCACATTAACGAAAGTGAAAGACAACTGGAATAAACTACCTTGTAGCAATCTGTATTAGATTTTTCATGCCAAGCAATTTTATGTATGGTTATGGAATGGGGATCTAAACTGTTTCCAAGCTGTGAATCAGGAACTAGGTCCCTAGGTTTGTGGCCAGACCCCAGGATCTATTCTAATATCATGATTGCATTCGTCTCTTTATGCACAGCATTTGTATATATAGTTTTTGGGTGGGGATCATAACCATTTAAAAGTTATGACTCAGGGGTTAAGTCTGCAAGGGTGGGGCAGACCCTGGGGTCAATTATAATATCATGACTGCATTCGTCTCTATATGCCCAGCATTTATATATATAGTTTGGGGTAGGGATCATAACCATTTAAAAGTTATGACCCAGGGGTTAAGTCTGCAAGGGTGGGACATACCCCAAGGCAATCCTCGAAGGGTATGTGCATTCATTTCTTTATTCTCAGCAATTGTATATATGGTTATGTGGTGGGGATCTCAACTGTTTCAAAGATATAACCCAGAAACTAAGTCCCTAGGGGTGGGGAAAAACCCCAGGGCCTATTTTACATCATGATTGTGTTTATCTCTTGATGTCCAGCAATAATATATATGTGGTTATGGGATGGGGATCTCAACTGTTCCAAAGATACAATGATCCATAACATACAATATTGACCCCACCCTACCACTTGAACCCTTTATTACCCCAGGGCCATAACTTTCATCAATTCAAAAGAGAGCTAGTTGATGATTATAATTAAATGTGCCATTTACTCTGTGCTACTTGAAGGGGTAGAGAAGAAGATTTTGAAATATTACCCCATTTTTTTACCTATTTGGCCCCGCCCCTCAGGCCCCTGGGGGTGCAGTCCCATAAATATCATAAAGTCAGATCCCCATGTCCTAGTGATGTTCCAAGTCGAATTTGGTTAAATTGGATTAAAATATAAAAAGTTGACAGACAATAGACGACGGACACTTTGGTATGCCATAAGCTTCGGGCCAAGTGAGCTAAAAAGGGCTAACATTGAAATAATATATCATGGGTCAACACAAAATACATGTAAGTGTAACATGGAGTCACGTTAGTCCAGTGATCCTTAATACAAAATTTGGTTAAATTCCTTCACCCCTACATTTTTAAACTGGACTTGCCCAGTCTCTGATTTGGTAAGGTTACAATGTGACTTGAGGGGTGAATGGGCTAAATTCCTTCACCCATATGAAATGAGCAGTCTTCATCCTTTAAATAGTTATCCCTACTTACCCTATTGGACCCTACCTCACTGCCACCACTGGGAATCAAAATCATGTAAACAATGCCTTGATCCAAGGCTGCTCTATAATAGGTAGCCTGTTAATGTATAAAGTAGCATACATGTACAACTTACCCAAATATCAAATTTGCCAGGAAAGAGTCTTTCTGGGATCCTTACAGCATATATGACTGCACCCGCAATGTAGAGGAAGGCCATGAGGACTAGCCATCCAAGGGCAGCAAAGTTGATGGCATTGTAAAAACCTTCAATGATGACGTAATGCAGAGCTGGGATGACACCACTAAGGCCAAGGGCTATAAAAACACCTACAAAGCAAAAGGAAAAGATAGAAAGTCATGCTGTGTTCTGTTTTTCTCCATGAATTATTCTTTTAAATGATAAAAATAAAACCTATTCCATAAAAAGCATGTACATGGTATTTTGCAGGTATACAAACATCGCTTTAATTAATAGAATAACAGACAAAAGTTGGCATGTTTACAAGTTTCCTGATTTCAATTACAAATCTTTGCTCCAGGATTGTAGCCAGAAAGATCAGTACTTGTAATGATTAAAAGCTGTTTGAAAGCTCTTTTGTGAACATGAGTTTGGGAGCAGCTAACACCTGGCAGTGCATATATAAGTCAGGAGTACTTACCTCCCTTAGAATGAACATTTTGCCACAACACAGAGTAATCCGTAGAGCACACTTACTGATTATTTACAGAATATAAGGATGGCTCTTAAAAACAAAAGTTTCATTAAACATTTTCTCTCTGAAAACGCTGTGATGAGATTTTCGATTTAATACAGAGTATATTTTTGGCTTATTAAACCAGTATACATGCAAGTAATTAACAAATTAAATATATAATACATGTATATATACAGAAGTATGATATATTCTTGGTTAATTTTCAGTTCATTAAAATCCTGAATGAAAAAACATGTCTGGATCCATACAACAATCTTTTAAGGTAGTGGTACATGATTATTTTCTTCTAAAACTCACCTGCTCGGACTGCACGGTACTGAGGCTGGGCAAATTTGTCCCACAACGACACAACGATGCAAGAAGTGCCCAAAACAAATATTAGTACTAGGTAGGCAATTTTTGGTCCCAGGTCACAGTAGAAACTATAGTATAGCCAGGGTACAAAGGATCCCATCGTCAGCAGAGCAATCCCACAGTAGTCGAGCCTGGACAAAAACAGGAGGGTTTATATACAGGGTACACAGTAGAAACTATAGTATAGCCAGGGTACAAAGGATCCCATAGTCAGCAGGGCAATCCCACAGTAGTCGAGCCTGGACAAAATCAGGAGGTTTTATATACAGGGTACGCAGTAAATATAGACCACAATATCGCCAAACCTATACAGGGTACACAGTAAATATAGACCACAATATCACTAAACCTATACAGGGTACACAGTCAATATAGACCACAATATCGCCAAACCTATACAGGGTACACAGTAGAAACTATAGTATAGCCAGGGTACAAAGGATCCCATCGTCAGCAGAGCAATCCCACAGTAGTCGAGCCTGGACAAAAACAGGAGGTTTATATACAGGGTACACAGTAGAAACTATAGTATAGCCAGGGTACAAAGGATCCCATAGTCAGCAGAGCAATCCCACAGTAGTCGAGCCTGGACAAAAACAGGAGGTTTTATATACAGGGTACGCAGGAAATATAGACCACAATATCGCCAAACCTATACAGGGTACACAGTAAATATAGACCACAATATCACCAAACCTATACAGGGTACACAGTAAATATAGACCACAATATCGCCAAACCTATACAGGGTACACAGTAAATATAGACCACAATATCACCAAACCTATACAGGGTACACAGTAAATATAGACCACAATATCGCCAAACCTATACAGGGTACACAGTAAATATAGACCACAATATCACCAAACCTATACAGGGTACACAGTAAATATAGACCACAATATCACCAAACCTATACAGGGTACACAGTAAATATAGACCACAATATCACCAAACCTATACAGGGTACACAGTAAATATAGACCACAATATCACCAAACCTATACAGGGTACACAGTAAATATAGACCACAATATCGCCAAACCTATACAGGGTACACAGTAGAAACTATAGTATAGCCAGGGTACAAAGGATCCCATAGTCAGCAGAGCAATCCCACAGTAGTCGAGCCTGGACAAAAACAGGAAGTTTTATATACAGGGTACACAGTAAATATAGACCACAATATCACCAAACCTATACAGGGTACACAGTAAATATAGACCACAATATCACCAAACCTATACAGGGTACACAGTAAATATAGACCACAATATCACCAAACCTATACAGGGTACACAGTAAATAAAGACCACAATATCACCAAACCTAAACAGGGTACACAGTAAATATAGACCACAATATCACCAAACCTATACAGGGTACACAGTAAATAAGGACCACAATATCACCAAACCTATACAGGAACCTATACAGGGTACACAATAAATATACACCACAATATCACCAAACCTATACAGGGTAGTAAATATACACCACAATATTGCCAAACCTATACAGGGTAGTAAATATAGACCACAATATCGCCAAACCTATACAGGGTACACAGTAAATATACACCACAATATCACCAAACCTATACAGGGCACACAGTAAATATACACCACAATATCACCAAACCTATACAGGGTAGTAAATATAGACCACAATATCGCCAAACCTATACAGGGTAGGAAATATAGACCACAATATCGCCAAACCTATACAGGGTACACAGTAAATATAGACCACAATATCCCCAAACCTATACAGGGTAGGAAATATAGACCACAATATCGCCAAAACTATACAGGGTACACAGTAAATATAGACCCCAATATCACCAAACCTATACAGGGTACACAGTAAATATACACCACAATATCACCAAACCTATACAGGGTACACAGTAAATATAGACAACAATACCACCAAACCTATACAGGGTGGGTATACAGTAAATATAGACCACAATATCACCAAACCTATACAGGGTACACAGTAAATATACACCACAATATCACCAAACCTATACAGAGTACACAGTAAATAAAGACCACAATATCACCAAACCTATACAGGGAACACAGTAAATATAGAGTAAATATACACCACAATATTGCCAAACCTTGGAGTCTTGCCTCTGGCAAAGTTAAAATCTGTATTACAGTTATATGGGATATTCAATTTGAGATAAAGTCTCTATGGTAAGACTTTGAGCTTTTTAGTCATTATCTTAAGTCAATGGAATATTAAGTTTGTGCTCAGCTTAAAGTAGTTTCAAAGTGTTGTTAATATTGGCAAATGGGGGCTGGTGTTGCTAACCTTATAGTTAATTAATTTTCTACTGAAAACCCAGTAAGAAAACAATACTACCTATAACACTACTACCTTAACATTTCCCAGAAAAAAAAGTGACAGATAGAAAAATAGGCAGAAGACACGCGTTATACAATGCACACGTTATACAATGTCTTAAATCTATTGAAATGATGTGCATGTGCATCTATTTTGTACCTTCAAAAATGTTTAAAAAACTCATTACAAAGGTTTTAGGTAGTTGTTATGATATGATCATGAATGTATACAATTTTGTAATTAGAGATGGCATTCCATTACATGTATAAACATTTACAATTACTTACTTGTTAAAGAGCCTGCCGACTCTCTCAGAATGACAGTACACTGTGTGGAACAGCCAGGAGAATCCCAAACACAAAATAGCACCCACAAAAAATGCAGAGAACACAGCCTTCTCCTGCCATTGTACCTCAATGGACGGCCTCGTCATGAAGTACCCAGCCACACCAATAAACGCGATCATACCTGTGGAGAAGATTGGATATTGACAATATCTTCATCAATTCAAGGAAAATGTTTTTCATTATCTTTGGAGATTGAATTTGTAAGGAAAACAAAAAGGTTTATGGTATGAAGGTCATGGCGATACATGATCTGTTCTAATGTAAAAGTAGGAATTGTCACGTGTGGAAATGTTTACTTTGTGATTCTTTAAAATGAACACTGTGTGGAAATGTTTGGGCCAGAAATGGTTTAGAAATCTATATGTTCTATAAATCTATATAATTGATAAATATTCTTGTGCAGATATTTTCATGCTGAAAATTTCCTCAATGCGAAAACATGCCAGCATTTCCACACCATGAAAATTTCCACTTTTACAGTATTTAGTAAAATGAGGCGTGAAGTCTTGTCTCAATGATACAGTGACCTTCACTGCCAGCTAGAGTGGCTGGGTTATAATACTATAACAACCGCTGTACCTTGGACACTTTTTAACAGAAGATAAAACCTCCCTGACAAACAATGAAAGGATGGTTAACACCCATATTAGGGGAGGCTGGCATGGATTAACAAGGCTTTACTGTGTTCGATACATCTGAGTTGGAGTGATGACTGAATATGACAGAGTACGTATACACGATAAATGTTTTTACTGCATATACATTATAACAGATAATTGTATTTGAGGTCAAATATTTTGCTCCCTTCCCATATCAGATTTACCATTTCCTTCCCAATACGATAAAATAAATCTCAACATCTAAATTATTTATTTTCTTCTCCAAGATTTTTCTTCAAGCACAACGCAATTATATTTCTATTTTTTTTCTTTCAATTGATGCTTTATAACGAGACTGCCTCAGAAAACCTGACATTGTTACAACAAAGTGCTGATGGGTGATTTAGATGCTGTGATATGTAGAAAGCCAACACTCAACTTCAATGTAATAGTTTCTCCCATTCTCCAAAAACCCATATATTTAAAGTGTGGAAAAGTGTTCCCTCAACTTATGACCATACAGCTAATTACAATAACACCACATCCAGGTGTTTTGTCTATTGATATGGTACATTGACCCCTTTACTGAGCGACCTTAATATAAACATGTATAGTGGGCCAAGAAAGTTTTAAAATTATTTTTACTCTTATGTTATAATTCCTTAAATCAATTTCAATATCTTAGCTAATGAAGACAAAAAAACTGACTGTAAGTTCCTGTCTGTTATAATTACAATGTATCTGTCTGTAAAGTTACATTATGAAGAACAGTTAATTCCTAACAGATGTGCCTCCTCAGCAGAATGGTTTCCCTGAAGTGCCAACGTACACAGAGTCTACAACATCAGCAGGATGAAAGTTTGGTGTTGATAGAAATTACAGGTCTGCAGTCATGCAAGGGAGTTAAAACGATTAGCAGATGTGTTCTCACAGTATTGATGGCTGCTGGTGTAGATGGTAGACAGCTGATACAATTCAGAAACATGCCTTAGTCAAACTGCTTCAGTATTTTACCCCTAACTGTACTGTACCCACATTATCAGTGTCTGAGACTCAACAGCAGTTTACATGTTTTCCGAACACACTGTATTATGGCTGATCAAAGGGGTATTCAGTGGAGTGGAGGTACATTTAAAGCAAAGTGATCTGTTAGGGTTGGGGCATGGTTTTCAGGAGACCATTCAGAGCATTTTTTGAATTCCAAGAAACAGCTTGGACTCTTTAATGCACCTGTCTAATTAACATCTGTTTTCACTCTTAAAATTTCAAGGAAGTGGTTTTTGACTTCTGAAATTGCTGAATGTCAAAGGTCAACTGCAAGCCTTAGAAGGGGTTTGGGATTCAACAAAATATACTTTGGGTAGGAGTAACATTATAATCGATGGTTGTACAAAGACTTTACCAATGTGACCTGTGCGTACATACCAAGTAAATGTGTCCATATATTGCCTGTCTCTGTATGTATCCTGAATATAGACTTAAAGCACTGTATGAAGGAGTTGGTGGGGGGTCTGTGGCCAGTGTGTAGAAAGTCATTGTCTTTTAGCCAGTCTGGGAGGGAGTGGTGATGTACGACTCGCCACGCCCCCGCCCAAACTTTTTTCACAAACTCCTCTGCCTGCTCTGCGGCTTTACATGTCCCTGCCAGGAAGTCAATCTTGGGCGAGGATTTTCCACTCAATACCCTGTCATCTTCGTCTTCCTCCTCACCCTCTATACTTGACGGTTTTGACAACTTTGACTGTGAATCAAATATAAAATACATTACTTGCCTTATTTCTTATGGTATCAACACATATACTTTTGTACTTATTGGATAAACAGGCAAGGAGTGGGTTACCATAAAAACTATCATGTTTGAAACAATTTTCTACATGTATCACCTTTGAATTGTTTTCAATCATCAAAACACATTTTTCAAACATGGAAAAAGTTTTTTATACATATATATAAATAAAAGTAAATGTAGTTTGTTATTATGATCTTCAATTTTTCTATGGTTTTCTGCAGTTAGATATTAAAGTCCAGATATTTGGTAAATATATTTTTTTCAGATTTAAAGTTAATACTTGTTTGATATCTTAATGATTGCTTTATATCTTTCATCAGTTAATTTAACATTGAGATTTTAAATGACACACAATAAAACCTTGTGTAATAACTCATTCTTTAGGAATCCTTTGTTATAAAGTTACCAATCTATTAGCAATTTCCACGGTATATGAGGATTGTCTTAATACTTGTATAAACAGGTATACATGCACTTATTATTAGCTCAAACCTTAGTCCATAACTCCAGGGGGAAAAGCTCAGGAGATAAGCCCCCTACAAACTTTTGGGCTACTCGGAACTCTAAAGGGACGCTCTACAAACAGATTAGGATCGAAACCTGAGCTACTCGGAACTCCCTCTCGGAACTCTAGAGGGATGCTAAACAGACTAGGATTGAAACCTGGGCTACTCGGAACTCTAGAGGGACGCTCTACAAACAGATTAGGATTGAAACCTGGGCTACTCGGAACTCTAGAAGGAGACTCTACAAACAGACTAGGATTGAAACCTGGGCTACTCGGAACTCTAGAAGGTCACTCTACAAACAGACTAGGATTGAAACCTGGGCTACTCAGAACTCTAGAAGGACGCTCTACAAACAGACTAGGATTGAAACCTGGGCTACTCAGAACTCTAGAAGGTCGCTCTACAAACAGACTAGGATTGAAACCTGGGCTACTCGGAACTCTAGAAGGACACTATACAAACAGACTAGGATTGAAACCTGGGCTACTTGGAACTCTAGAAGGACGCTCTACAAATTTAGCTACCAGGTCTCAGATGATCAACTTAGTCCAGTTCAGCTACACAATAATTAATCAATGATTTTTTTCTGAATACCACTTGTGTTAAATACATGTCCAGATATGTCAAATGACTTTTCAATTCAAGATTGACTATCATATATAAACAAGAGCACCGCAAACGGATTCATAATGCGCCCGTCTGACCCTATCCAATGATTTTTTGCTTGTTTGATATTTAAAGTAGCTGGTAGCCAGTGTCATGTCTATGTGATAAAAATGCTTGCACTGTTGATTTTGTTAACCAAGAGTGATTGTCATCACTGTAATGTTCACGTTTATGTAATTGGTTCTTTGCTAATGTACTGCCTAATGCCTCTTAATCAGGGCATGTAGTAGACCCTTGAGAATATGTTTTTGACTCCCCTAAATTTAATTATTTGACTTGTGGGTTTATAGGGACATGTTTCCCATAATTGACTACTTCCGTATATATACATATTGAATCTGAGTAGATTCTTAATTTGTGCTTGAAATTATCTTCATGTGAAATGTATCTTTGAATTGGGGATGGTAATAATTGTCCCAAAAATTGTAAAGTCCAAAATTTCCAAAAATAGGAATTTTTTCCCAAATTAAATCCTTGTTGTCCTTGTTAGACCCCACATGAACATCCATGTCAAATATTAGGACAATAACACATGATCTGACTGAAATGTAGACTACTGAAGAAACGTGCACCAAACTTTAACCGGACACAGAAGCTATATCAAAATACCCCCATCAAATTTCAATGTGGGCATAAAAAACATGTATAACCTAAAAAACAAATTCTCAAAAATTATAAGTGAGCCACATCAGGATGTGCATTTAAACCTGAGCAGAAATGTTTCACTTACTCTTCTGAAAAATAGCGGTCTGCGTAACGCTGTCCTTCTCTCCGCCTGTTTTGTAGTCATTGATAGGTCTTCCTCTGCATCAGAATAATCACTGTCCAGCGACACATTGTTGAGGTCCTGATTGGCTATAGAAATCGGCTGTTGTACGATGGGACAGGCCTCCAGTGTGATCGTAGGTGTGGTTAAAGAGGACGCCATGGTAATCTATTTATTTGATACTAGTATCAGTCCCACAGTTCAATCAGTCTCTTTCACTTGGTCAAATGATATATTCTTCCAATATTCTGGAAAAAGAAAAACAGAGGTTATTTATTTGTTAACAATTATATATGCAAATATGAAAGGTATATGCAGCAGTGTTCAATTTTATTTTTAAATGTGACCGCCGGGGTTGGGTCTTATGTGGGAGGAAGCTGAGTACACAAAGGAACTTCATAGTCGAGCAAATGACCCTGGACCTTTACATGTTTGATCAGGGATTCAAATCCTGTCCATCTGGGTGAAAGGACGAGAGCACTTTCCACTCTGCCATCTGCCCACCCAATTTCATATTGAGAGTACTTACCAGCCTAAAGGCAGATTTTGAAATGATAACACTACTAGCTTGGCATACAGAATTGAACATCTACTAGCGGCAGTGTTGGGCTAGTGGAATACCATTAAAAAGTTTTATTTTTATTTTGCAAAATTCATCATGCAAAAAGGTATAACTTTTTGCTGCCATTATTAATCACAATGTATATTGATACATATTTATGTATGATGTTGTGAAACCAAAATGTGCAATAATTAACAAGAGGAACTTGGCACCAACCATTGTACCATCTTCATTAGTTCTTTGTCAGTTCGATCTTTTCTCTAATCTGTTTGATCGAGTCATGTTAACAGTAAATGCACCTTGCGGTAACTTTTGATCTAAACTTAATACTGATGTGTATGAAAGCCAACCTTCAAAGTGAGTTTTGTAATTTCACATATTTACTAGTACAGTACTTAATGTGAAAGCAATAGAATTGATCATTGCAATATGAGAAAGATCTGTTTAGTTCTTCATTTAGCCATTTTGTTTTTATGATCATGCAGTCTCAATATATAACATTCACAACGAGGGATCAAGGGGAACCTACACATCAAATTTGAGAAAGATAATAATAATAATAATTGGAGGTTCTTGTATATATCGCTTTATCACAACCTAGTTTGTAGGTCGTCTCAAAGCGGTTCACAAATTATTATCCGTGGTTATAGGGCCTTTGCAACCAGCCTATACATTTCTCAACTCCCTGGGGAGCATACAGCCGGAGCTGCCATTTCGGCGCTTACAGCTAGCATTCAACAATTCTAGCAACGCCATACCACGTACTCATTTACAGCCGAGTAGACTGGAACAAGCCAAGTAAAGTATCTTGCTCAAAGATGCAACACATTGCCGTGCCTTGGCGCGAATCCGCAACCCTTCGGTCACGAGCCCGGCATCCTACCACTGGACTACCGTGCCTCCATCAAGTTATTCCTGAGAAATAGTACTAACAAACCTTCAATGTCAAAAATCGAAAATGGATGTCGGTAGGCCATTTTGTTTAACTGATCAGTTTCAAAAGTAAACATGAACAATAAAGGATAGTGGGGAACCTGCATGGGCTGGCCCAACATTTTTTTTGGGGCAAGTAATAAATCTGAAGCACTGGCCCAAATGTATTGGTGGCCAAACTACTTTGGGAAGAAATATTTCCACAGCATTTAACACAATGCTTCAGCACATTTAAATTACATATAACATGACAATGTTTGTAATATGTTAAACAGAATAAAACATTATATTCTGATTTCTTCAACCCTAGTAAAAACCTGACATTATTCCAAAAGAAATACACAAAACTCACACCTCAAAGAAACACACTGGCTGTATTTATATAGAAAATTTTCTAAATCACGGGCAGTTCAATTCAAATCGAAGTAATAACAACTGGAAAATGTACTGACCCCCAGTTCATCTGGAAGGGACTATAATTTCTTTTATTCATAATTTTTTTGACAGTCGCCCAATCAATTTTTGTTTGGCCAGTGACTACCTCACTTTTGACAACTTTTGGTCGCCCAAACAAGACTTCAATCACCATTTCAGGCACTGCTGCACAACCAGGGGGAACCTACATATAGAATTTGAGAAAGATCCCTCCCGTACTTCCCGAGAAATAGCGATAACAAACTTTCACTATCAAAATCCAAGATGGCTGCCTGTCAGCCATGTTGTTTATCCGATCATTCTCAAAAGTTGCCCTGCACAGCTAGGGATCAAGGAGAACCTACATGTACAATTTGAGAAAGATCCCTCCAGCACTGCCAGAGAAATAGCGATAACAAACTTTCACTATCAAAATCCAAGATGGCTGCCTGTCGGCCATGTTGTTTATCCGATCAGTCTCAAAATTTGCCCTGCACAGCTTAGGACCAAAGGGAACTGCATATAAAATTTGAGAAAGATCCCTCTGGTACTTCTTGAGAAATACCGATAACAAGAATTGTTTAAATACCAAGTATAATTTATATATATGAGTCTACGTGGCTACCTACTGCATGATGACCACACAAGCTGCCTTTTATACATTGTACATGAACTATGTGGTACCACAAACTCAACAGTTATGTCTACACATACACTGTTTATGATTCGTAATGTTTAAATTTATTATTTATGTTTCCAGAAATAATACACAAAGTTGAGTTACATGAACATTGTACTTTGTCATGCACTTCCAAAGTTGAGAGACAACAGAATTACATGTTCATATAAATGTATACACTTTCAATTAGATATTGTAACTTGTCATGCACAAATCTTCACTATATTATCAGATACACTTGTACTCACATTATAAAACGTGTTCTATGATCTGATTAAGTCATAAACACCAGTGTCTGGTCTCCCGCGTCTGTCAAATTTATTTTAAAAACTAGTTCTCTTCTGCAGTTAACTCCATGTTTATAATTATGAAATATGTTAAATGCTTTAGATCAGAATTAAGATCTGGACACTGTATATACATGTTTATCAAACAGGATTTCCAGGACATTCAGCATCACACCATCACAGGATTACAAAATTCCAGTATATACACTTCCCTATAAAATACTGCATAGTGCACCTAAAAAAACCTTCCCTATAGATAAATATAGTTCAGAAATTTTCTTGATTATATTCTATAAATAGGCACAAATCATGACATAATGCATCAGGCCATTAGACATCTTTTTGTTTTTATTAAATTTCCTACAAGGAGTAAAACTTTCATCTAATACATTTTTAAAACAGTGAATGAAAGCAAACAATAAGTACTTTGTTATTTTTTTCAGTTTATGTTTGATTTGTAATAATAATACCTGACATAGGCCTAATAAAAATTATGGAAGGTAACTTGAAAAATCAACATATATATAATTATTTAAACACAGTAAACTTACTGTATAGTGTATTAAGTTTTTATTATATAAAATTTAGAATCAAAGCTTTTATATATTCATACTCATATTATTAAAGTTTTCACAAGTTAAAGTACCAAGTGCCTTTATATATAAATATACATGTAATAATTATGTTTTATATTTTTGTAAATAATTAATTAACATAAATATATATCAATGCCTATATATTTCATGCATGTATATGGTCAGATACAGCATTATGAATATACTGTCAAATCATTGACAAAAAAACCTGGAGACCTATTTCAGATTCTTACCTTGAAACTTCTAATGAGATGTAAACAATTATTGTACAAATGACACAGTAGTGCTAGAAGGCATCAGTGGACCAGGTGAAGTTGATGGACAACCCATTGCTATATATCTTATACAGTATATACACAGTATTCAAAAATCTCCACTCAGTTATTGTAATCAAGTAGTGAAATGAACTTTGGTCAAACCTATATATTACAATGTTGTCACAACATGTACATGAGTGTATCACTTGGATGTTATTGTTGACTAGTACTAAAGTATCATCCAGAGTACATATAGGTTATCCTAATTGTCACTGTTTTTTTGGTCTTTGGACTGTAACATTGTCAGGCCATCGGGTAAAAATAAAGAGCGCTATAAATATGTATAGCCCAGTGAGTTATATATATGTTGTTGTCATTATTATCTGCAATTATATATGACTAAGAGACAGATTAGATAGTTTGACGGTTTCACAATGCTACCAATAGAAGTATACACGTGTACTACGTAATAGCACGTTATTCAAGAAATAATAGAAAATACTGCATAATGCACCTAATTTTTCTACACAATAGGCTCATGGGAGACTTCCCTTAAACTGTGTGACTTTACTTATCACATCATGTACAAACTGCAATCAGGATGCATGATATTTAGAAAGCCTACATCCTGACAAATGGCCATACCGGTATGTTCAGGATCGAAAAAATTTGCGGAAATTTAACAAAGCTGTCATTCATAACATGTCGTATACATATAACCACACAAGAGGCCCATGGGCCTAAACGGTCACCTGAGTCCTACAGTATTTTTTGTTGTTGTTGAAATATGTACATTTGATTACAAAATAGTTAAGTATAACATCAACTTAAGTTTGTCAGGACCATGAGCTGATCATTCCAAGACCGAGTTTTAGTTAAATCGGCCTATTAGAACTTGTTTTTAAGTTTGAAATAGTTTTTTCAATGGCGGCCATATTGGATTTCTGATCGACTTGAAAAATAACAACACTTGGTCAGGGAGATGTCAGTAACCTTCCCAAGAAAAATTAATGAAATCCCTTTGCCAGTATTTCAGCTTAAGTTGAAAATGTAGAATGTTAACGGACGACGGATGATGACGGATAGCAATAGGTCACTTGAGCTAAAGCTCAGGTGACCTAAAAAACATCGATTTGAAAGGCTGATTTAAATAAAGCAAATTACAGGAAAGAAGTGATTTTAATGTTCCTAGTCTATAAAAAATGGCCAACTTTACTCATTGGGAGCATGAAGATATAGAAAATGTCTGAAGGCTTGAACAGTAGTTTTTTTTTACAACTGACAGTAGGTAGATATAGCATCATTTCATTTTCGTACTTTATATATCGGTACCTGTCAAAGAGATTACTGACAGTAGGTAGAAAGAGCATCATTTCATTTTTGTACTTTATATATCGGTACCTGTCAAAAAGATTACTGACAGTAGGTAGAAAGAGCATCATTTCATTTTTGTACTTTATATATCGGTACCTGTCAAAAAGATTACTGACAGTAGGTAGAAAGAGCATCATTTCATTTTTGTACTTTATATATCGGTACCTGTCAAAAAGATTACTGACAGTAGGTAGAAAGAGCATCATTTCATTTTTGTACTTTATATATCGGTACCTGTCAAAAAGATTACTGACAGTAGGTAGAGAGAGCATCATTTCATTTTTGTACTTTATATATCGGTACCTGTCAAAAAGATTACTGACAGTAGGTAGAAAGAGCATCATTTCATTCTTTTACTGTACCTGTTAGTTATCTTTTTGACAGGTACCAGTATATACAAATCTTCAAAAGGATTACTGACAATAAGTAGAAATACCATTGTGGCTTTCTTTTACTTTATTATTTTATATGATAATTTCTAGGATAACTGTTGGATAACTACCCTTGTTCTATTTGGTATAGTTAACATACACCCTAATGCTAAGAGTTGTGCCCCTTCTCCTAGGGAGCGCTGTACATATTCTACTTTCACTTCATTGTTGTCGTCTGCCAAAATGGCTTAGAAATTCAGGACCGGGGATGCTGATTACTTCGTAGAGGCTCAGCAATGCATAAAGACGAAACAGGCCACAAAATTTGCTATCGCAGTCATTAAAGACTTCCTACTGGAAAGGGAACCATATGTGACCTAGTGGTGATTCAATCCAGTGAATTGAACAGTGTTTTGCCGGATTTCTATGCCAATATACGCAACAAAATAGGAGAGATCTACTCAAAAAGTTCTCTTATTGCCATCAGGCAAGATTTCGACATTCCATTGTTTGTGCACCTTCTTTGTAATTTTAGTAATTGTACCGTTACAATTAACAACAACTCATGAATCAAAACTTCAAATGTTACGTTCAAATTTCCAGCTGTTGTTAATTATTAAATATGTTATCAATGAAGTTCCTCATGTTTGTCTTTTTATTGACAAAAGACAGTCATGTGATATACTAAATCTATTATGACCCTTTCCCTCGGGAACAGTTCTCTTATTATAGTGTTGTCTGCAGAGATACAGTGCCCTCGCCCAACGGCTCAGGCACTATATACCACCCCAGACAACAATTCCCTCGGGAAAGGGCCATAATAGAATATTATATACCTCTCAAAAAGATAGTATATAGGCCTCAAATTGACAAGGGCTACTCAACCATGTTGTATTGATGAAACAGCCAAACATGGTGTTGTTGCATGTGACAGATAGAACACTTTCATCGAGACAAATGTTGTACATGCGAATACATATTTATGACAGATAAAAGGTCTGTTTGTGAGTCGTAAATGTACCATAAGATATGACTTTCTCTACAGAAAAGCTTAAATCAGACTGGAAAAAAGTTTTCAAGTACCAGGTAATAATCTCAACTTTAAAACACCAGCAATGGGAATGGGAATATTGAGTTATTGGAAATACTGGCTATGAGAAGCCAGTTTAGTAGACAATTGTCAATATTGTCTTACTTTGTTAAACCTTAAGGTGGCTCCACACTTTCGCAATTAACCAGCAAAATCCGTTGAAACTTTCATATAATGGTTATGCAACCATGTAGAGTTGATTTTATAAAAATCTAAACATTCCGACAGTTTGGGGACTTTTTTGGAAAAAATACCAAAAAATTGAATTTTTCGTCAATTTTAATATTTTCCGTTTTTTGTGTGTGTGGCATTGTTCGGAACAATAACAACAATAATAAAATGAAAAGAAGCATTTCTAATTAACCCTACAAATATTTTATTTATCGCAAAATATGTAACACATGTTACACAAAGTGTTTTTTATTGAATTTGTACGGATAAAAGTGATTATCTACAAGCTAAAAGCAAACAGGACACAAAAATCTATACATATAGAATGGGAAATTGAACAAAATATACACAATGGCTTTATAATTATTTTATTTTACATTTTACAATCACTTCGATCCGGGTGATAGTTATCTTCCTTGAAAAAAATTGGAACTTTTTGCAGAGGGGTGACATTTACACAATGATAGTTGTCTCTGTTTACATATATAACAAAAATGATGGAAATAAATCAAAAATATGATATAGAAATTATCAATTTATTGTTCTTTATGGAACCAAATTACCCTCAGTCATGTACACTTTGGACATCATTCCACAGTCCGCTAACTCACGGTATATTTATAATTACATGTCAGGTACGTATGTGACCATAGGCTATCGCATGGTATGCCGTTCTCACGTGTACTCACACATGCATTTCATAGGTATCTGGATATTTTACAAAACATTATTTTCACAGAGTAAGTAGACTACATTTGTAAACACGATTTAATCGACAGAGTGAAACTCCCTCAACAGCGAAAATCGTAACAACCTCGAGCTTATGAACTCGTGTAAGCATGTGATATGCACATGTGAGGTTGGAACGTCCGCATTCCATGTGTTTCCTATATGACTTTCTTGAGGTCGTTTGGTCTCATGTCACTGTCTTCACGTGAGTCTGTTTATGTCTATGAATTGGAAAGCTTTATTCCTGAAGTACGTGTGATTATACAATTCCCGGTAAAATCTCGATATCGGGTGTTAACATATCATCGGCACGCACGTGTACTATTGTTTACCAGGGGCCTGTTCGTTTATAAATGTAACAATTTCGGGTATAAATCCTGGTGGTCCTGCAAATATGTATGCAAGGCTTTCCCAAGGCCCGCCTGAAAGCAGCATCAGATTACTAGGTCCGACCTTATTTAATAAACGAACAACAGTGGTCCGATCGGTTTGACCGTTTAAACGAAAACGGCCCATGTGTTACTATAATTTGCACTACGACATTGAATGCCCGATACGCAATACGGAAATGTCGACACGTGTACATGCACATTTTGATCAAGATAATTGAGTCCGAGCTGTACTTTTTCCGGAAGTACGTCACGAAAATGGACGCTGATGATGATGTGTGGAGCCACCTTAAACAACGTTGGAATAATGGACTTACTGATGTGGCTTATTATGACACTAAAAAGCATGCCCATTCCAATTTTTTTTTGTGTGCAGGTTCCTGGTTAAAGTATAAGAACCTGAACTGAAAGTGAAGCCTAATTATTAAACTTTATTCTCTCACAGGTCTTGGAAAGAATGACATTCGTTTGGTATTTATCTTTGTATGAAAGACATAGACAGCCTCGATAAGGAGAAGCTGTTCAAAACGTGCGACTACAGAGCAACAAGGGGACATTCCAAAAAGCTGTTCAAACAAGAAAATGCAGCAAAGCTGCTGGACACCAAACCATTTTATGAAAATGACTTACTGACAGTCCACCAACCACGAGGGAACGGATCCTGCATACTTTAATCTATTTCATTATAATCATGTAAATTGTAAATGGCATTAATTGTGTTGTTCAGAATATTCAGTTCACGCTCAATATCTAGTTGTAACCGCACGTTTTGGGCCAAATGTCAATGATTTGGTAATAATGTCATCTTCTAAGAGAGAGAGAGAAGCCGGGGACATAAGACGATTTACATAAACTATCATTTACACCTTTTGTCAAAATTGCAGCAATTTTTGCATATAATTCTTTTGACAATGTCCCTATTTTACTATTTTGGATAAAATATCAACCATTTTCTAGGATAAAGGGTCAATCGTAGCCCCTCCCCCTGTCCCTTTAAAAATAGTTATTAATTCTCGAGACTGCAAANCAAATGCCACCTGGCTAATATCTCCCCATGTGTGTATGACTGCGTGTGTGCTGGAAATGTATACGTAATGTGGTGTGTTTGTAGCGGGACCGTGCTTCATACGGTATCATTTATAGTGCCACCTCGCTTGAATGCTACAGCACAAATACCGCAACATTCTCCCCAGACCAATTTATACTCCACCTGGGTTGTTGGAGTTGTATAGGCAGGAGAAAAACACTTGCTCTGCATATCCATGCATACGACAACTTCTGGGATCGAACCCCGGCCGCATGGAAGGCCGTTGTGTTAACTTTGACCACTCGACCATATTAGCATATGACATATTGTTCAGAACGACTTTAACAAAAAGGGACCGAAATTGCCCCTGTCCCAATATGGGGACATATATTTTGAAATAAAAGTCCTCAGCAGGCAGGGGTTTAGGGGGATAAGGTATCCTGGTTTAACCCCCACCCACTCCCGTACGAAGAAAACATAATAGTTCACCCATTGAATAATGACAGGACTGGATGTTCACTCTACTGACAAAATGTAACTGTTAAGTTATGTAGGAAACAGTAATTTCATGTGTATGTGTGCCAGCTGTTTGGGTCTTGCCTATTTCATATTACAAATGAAATAAATATAACGTATTGAACGGGAAAACCATGAAATTTTCTATTTCTTACATTTCTTTCACGTTTCGCTGCGAAAATATTGCTACATCAGAAAAGCGCGGGAATGTATAACGTAGTTTTTGACGCCAAATTATAATGACGTCATGCTTGACAACAATACAAAGCGCCACTTTGAATGGGTTTTCACTGCAATTTTGCCGTTTGCTAGTATATCTGGTAAGATTTCCAGACAAAAATGATATTAATTGTGTAGTTATGTAAAAACAACAATGTATGCTGCAAAGGTAAACAGCTCAACCACTTATACTGCCGTCACTTCATCTAAACTTGAAACTGAAAATCTACGCAGAAATATAATGTACCGTTCAGATTGGACAATACTTACAGAGTGAAGTTTTTACTTGTGAAGATATAATGTTTCGTTTATCTTCACTGCATTAAATATATGTTTTTATTAAATAGAGAATTCATGATATTTTACAAGTAAACTGCAATCAATACCGATACGGTAGGGTTTACCAACATATTTTTGTAGACAGTATGCGGCCTTAATTTCCCAGAAGGCTTTCACACATGGGGAAGCACCGGAAGTGGACAAAGTGTTTACAGATCAAACCCCGGCGGCGCTTTGCGCCGCTTGGGGGTTTGAAAAAACGCTGTAGAAAGCAACAAACTGCCAATTATTTCAGTAATAGAGTTATTCAACCATGGAATCGGCTACCCGAACCTGTGACCTCGGCTCCAAGTGTTAAATGTTTTAAAGACAGGTTAAATAAGCATTGGAAAAATCATCCACGGAAATTTGAGCCCTCGTTTTCATAATATCAGTTCGCGGACAGTCAATGACACTAATAGTTTCTGTCTCGGTTCTGATTTGTGTTTTCTTTTAACAATGTATTGTAGATACAGAAAATTTTGACTCTAACCTAAGTGTTACATAAACAAGTCTTGGAACTGGTATAATACCAAGGGGAATTTATATGATTACAAAGAAACTGTATATAAATGAACATATATGTACATATATATTGTTAATAGTTAATTACAATTATTGAAAAGTAACCTGCTTGCGCAACCGGAAGGAAGTCGTGTCCAGCAGAAGTTTACCAACAAGGATCATACATCATAAGAAGCCATTGGCTTAATTCGATGTCAACCAGTGATTCAGTTTATACAGATGCCCATGTGACTTGCTGTCCGTCAATTATGTAATCAATCTATTTAACAAACAAAAGTCCTGTTTGCATAAAATATGAAGTTAAAGATAAAGAATGGAGCAGTTTCCACTGTGTGCTGGCATGGTTTTCTAGGGTACATTAATATTGTAGTGACCGACAGACCGACCCATTGTAGTTTGGTGGTGATGTGTGTGTGTAAAGGGGGGGGGGGGGGGGCTACTTTAAGTGATCGCGGGTAGCTTACAGCCGTGGAAACCTTGTTCGTTGATACACTACAGTACTACTGTATATGTGGCAATTTCTTTGCGCTAAAACCTTTAGTATCAACACATCAGAAAACACATCTGACAAAGACAGTGACCTCTGTTTGTAAACAAAGGCACCAGCGCTGTGACGTAGGACCACTTATGAGGAAAGAGTGTAAATTCCCGATGTCGGATCATGATCACCTGATCGAGCCCCGAGGTACGCTCCGTCATGACAATTGATATGTTTTTAAAGTCAGACATCAGTTTCTTCACTATGAATAAAGTTGTATAAGAATAAACAACTTACCAAATACAGCAATCGGTTTATGTTATTGTAAACATGTTGACGAAAGAAAGTGTATCACCTCACTAGAAGAAATATGGAACTCTTGTGTATTAGATGACGTCGGTATCATGTGCACATGTTATAGTGACGTATTTCACCGGAAGTGCCCGTCTGTCTTAGTTTACATTGGTGATAGAGTTGAAGTTCACATGTACACACACGTATTGTGGACTGTGGCAGGTGGATTGGAATATCGATCGGACTAATATGCAGCCTTTTATTGCTCAACACCTGATGCGCTAGGGATTTAGAAGCACGAGAGGGTGTGAGTATTGATTGGTTGTCATACAAGTATGAAATAAAAGTAAGATGATGTACTACATATAACGTTACTCATCAATTAAATTAATAAAATTGTGATCTGTTAAAAGATAGGATGACATATAATTGAATAATTGTGACTTATAACGAGCTTTGTAAACGGATTATAAAGATATTAGTATTAAAAAAAATATTTTTGGGGAACCTAAGGAAACGTTTATTCAAATTAAATTGAAGTTGCATATTAAAATTATATAAATATATATTCACTCTCTCTAGGTCTCGATTTAAATGTCGTACAATGGTTATCGTATTCAGTTACTTAAATTGCATTTACAAAGTGTAAAAATGTTAGTAATTCAATTAAATAATTTGTAGCTTTTAACACCTCCAAAATTATTTAGTAACAGTTATACCTATTTGATTTATAAAGTTTCTAATACAGATCAAATATTAATTATCTGTATTATTTTCATTAGTAATATAGTTTGAATATTGTATGATTGGAAAATGCATTGATTAAAACTAAACAAAGCATATTAAAAAAAAAAAAAAAAAAAAGATTCTTCTCTGTACAATGTGTGTTTGTTTTTTAATGAATGCTACATGGAAAACTTGTTTTAGGAATTGCATCATATTATTTTAGATTATCAACGTTTTACATGAATAGTTATATTTAACTGATATTTGATATTGATTTCAAAATGCTCTAAGAGAGTAGTTTTATTTTCAAGATAAGATGAATAAGTTATGAATTATCAACAAATTAAATTAGCTGTTATTGAGATTACCTAAGAGTACAAATTTTTAAACATTTTAAGTTCAAACATTCCCATTTTCAAAACAAAAAATAAAATTTGATGATTTTATAATCAGACCATTATACTTTAGAAATGTAAATTTACAATTTTATAAATTTCAGATCTACATATATTTATATTGATCTTTTAACTACGATAAAAAAACATTCTAAAATATTGATAACTAACAGGTGGGACAGGATTAACCAATGTTAAAATCATTATACAGAATGTGCTGACAATACCAGTTCATAATATGTTCAAGGCATGAACTCAATTTCATAAAATCCTCAATTGAAAAAAAGAGACATTCCTAAAGTACTGAAGGATTTTTTGATTTTACTTAAATGATTTTTAAGAATTTCTAGAGATTATTGATCTAAAGATAATATCTTACTCAGGACTGCATTTAATTGATGACTTTACGTCTCCAGTAATGTTACAAATTACATTTTAATGTTTCTAAATCAATGTTTCTAAGTCATGTAAATGACATGTGTCAGGTCCATGCTAGCCGTGTATAAACATTATACCTGTGCACATTGTAAACACTTTAGACCCTGTGTCTATATATCTAGTGAAACACATACTCCAGTTTTATACTCTCTGCACTCCCTGGCATTGGTTTTACTCAAGCAGCTGTAGAAATCCATTTACCTATATGTTGAGTGAGTTTTCACCATTGCAGGAATGTGTATCTTCAAAACAATAATTTGTATGCAAAATAAATCAATCTGTTTTGCTGAAGAGCACTGTCAAATTTTACCATGCACATAATTGTTTTCTCCTATAAAGGCATTTTGATCAATAGATATTATAACATGAACACGTTTGTTAGGAATTCACATGAAAAATTCATAAACATTTCTTCTATTTTTTATTTTGTAAGACAAAATTAGTGATGTAGCATGGTCCCCCCCCCCCCCGAACCACCACCCCTCTCCCCCCCCTCCCGCCTAAGATGTTATACAGCCAGTCAATTGTTTAGGGATAATAAATGGAAGTTTATAATGCACTGGTTAAGTCAATAGGATTATAAGGAAAGGCCAAAGTATAATTTCAGTAGGGTCACCATTGAACCTGTACTGAAGGATGTATAAGAGGATCAGTCAACACTTGTGAGATACACATTACAGAAGGGGTTTAAACTTACCTGTATCTACATGATATCTTATAGTGCACAAAAATGAATACACACCAGCCTTCTCAACCATACTTACAATAACCTATTAATCATAACCCAGTGATGATGGAGAAATTATCATAAGAGTGAACCTGAGTAAACAATATTATAAACATTAAAATCAAATGTGGAGGGCAAAATTAATACTGGGCGAAAATTAGACTGGGCGAGCATTTCACATTATAAAGTAGTAAATAGAGACAGTCTGACACATTGACTGTAGAAGTTTGCTGGCTACATGATGGACCAGACAGATATTTAGCTATTGGAATCAGATTATACTGGAAGACCTATATGTGAAACTAACACCATCATTCTGTGTTGTTTATCAACGTTATTGACCATATATATACTTACCGTATCACTGACGTCCAAATTGGATCAATCGTATTAGAGGGGCTTTATTTCCTCCAATACACAACTTCTCTGGGATAAACATCTCTGCAGGCAATTTTCCCGGGAGTATGAAAAGTTGAGAGGTTTTAGAGGTTTTTGAAACACATGGATGAATAAAAATAGGATGTCACATTTGTAAAGGCATTGTGTACTTAAGCTTGCTCCACTAGAAACAGAATAAAAACCAGGAGCTCAGGTTTCAAGTTCTTCCCATAGGTACCACATCAAAACTAAATGTTTTATCCAATTTCTGATTGCTATACAAAAATTGTAGCCTCCAACCATTTGTGGTTTCTCAAACCAGACACAAAACTAAGTTAAGTTCCAGTGAAACACATTCTGTGATGTATAATGTTTCCAGTTTTAGTACAGTGTAGCTTTTAAATATCATTTTCAACAAAATCCAGTGAAATGTTTTGATTACATATTTGTTTTCTTGCTTTTTATCATTCATTTACACCATCATCCTATATAATGTTCAGTATAACTTTGGAAAAAACGTTTTATAATCATTTGGTAAAAAATCTTTTTAAACCTATAGCTTTCCTCATGATACATGTATTTTGATACACTATAAGCTTAAAGATATTACAAATGAATCTGGTGATAGTTCTTTATAAAAAAGTCAGGAGAAAACACATAACAGTTTTATAATTTATAATGAAACAATCTGTGAAGGAAATAATTTTACACTCAATCACAGACCAAACGCAAATGTGATTTGTATGTTGATCGAATATGTTGTGTTTCAAGGTCTGTCCTGGCTCCATATGTAGGCCAGTTGGACTTGGTGTGGTGAACACTTGGTCTGTCCTGGCTCCGTCTGTAAGCCACTTGGACTTGGTGTTGTGTACACTTGGTCTGTCCTGGCTCCGTCTGTAAGACACTTGGACTTGGTGTGGTGTACACTTGGTCTGTCCTGGCCCCGTCTGTAAGCCACTTGGACTTGGTGTGGTCTACACTTGGTCTGTCCTGGCTCCGTCTGTAAGCCCCTTGGACTTGGTGTGGTGTACACTTGGTCTGTCCTGGCTCCGTCTGTAAGCCCCTTGGACTTGGTGTGGTGTACACTTGGTCTGTCCTGGGTCCTTCTGTAAGCCACTTGGACTTGGTGTGGTGTACACTTGGTCTGGCCTGGCTCCGTCTGTAAGCCACTTGGACTTGGTGTGGTGTACACTTAGTTAAGCAGTTACAGTGGACATTCAGTGATCAATACTAATCAGGGAGACCAAAGTTGGTCAATGTTGTTTGTGGGCTAACCTCAAAAGGCTAAATCAATCTTAAGGTTATCCGCACCAACGACATCATAGAGCTTGAGAACCGCTCACTCGTGTTTATGTCCTTACCGCTCACTCGTGTTTATGTCCTTACCGCTACATGAGTTGATATCTTCAGTAACGATGTCTGGTTCCTTTTCACTGATCTATATGTTGCACCCTGCTCGTTAGGGTCTCCTTGATTATGTATCCAGAAAAATAAAAAAAAGAACCTAGAATAGCTTTTATATCATGTACAGGATGGGAGGGGACTTGATAACAGATTTTAAAATAACAATCTATTTGATAAAATGGTCACTTCCAATCTATTAACCTTTGATATATAGTGGAAGAATACAAGGTCACATTCACAAAATGTACAAAAACCGATGCAACACAGAGTTAAGGGGAAACTCATTCACGTTTAGAGTAGTAGATGTGGGGAACAGTCTACCTGGACGTGTTGTAAATGCTCAAACAATTAGTGAGTTTGATTAATTGATGAACATTTTATAGAAACAATCTATGATATGTGAAACACAATACGACTATGTTTTACAACTTGATGATGCTGTTATTGACACTCCTACAAACTATGTGTTAAGTATTTGTTGATATTGACCTAGAGGATTCTAGAGCCTTCATCTATTAAATCTTTGTAGAAGTGTTTTCATATTGATGTGTGATCCTCAATCATAAATATATATATATATCAAAAGACTTTTGATGCTTGATGTGACGTAAACTCTTTTATGGGGAGACTTTTTATAAACACATGGTGAAAATTTTTTTTGGGGTTTTCTTAGACAAAGTGTTGTGTGATACAGTATAGATTGACATAACACTCTGACTATTGTGTAATTAAAGAATGAGATCCTTGGATGTAAATTTAATAGCCAAAAGTATAGTTAAGTTTCATTTCTATACATGTGCATTGTCAGTATATATATATGACATCCACGTGCACATTTTGCAGATTTAACCTGAGTGCATGTGTAAAAGAAAACACTTAAAGCTGTTTAAAATAAAAATTAGGCTGCTGCTTATAATCCTATCATCTTCACAAAGAAAAGATTGTTTGAACATATTTAAAAAATAATGAAGTTCTTGTTAAATCTGTGTCACTATGAAGCTTTGATTTTTTAAACCATTAAAGACCCCCTAGTGTTTTATTTTTTTAAGTCATGGATACACCTACCTAACACTGATCACATTCATCAATAATCACTATCAGTCATGTGTTTGTATCAGGTGTAAAGTACGTATGCACAAAATGTGTAAACCTGATGCCCATACTGTACAGTACAGTTGATAATGATAATATGTGAGTCCTGATGCAATTGTGTGCATCAAAGAAGGACCCATACTACAT